ATATGGAACGATGAACATGAACAATTCTTTAATCAGCTAAAACACATTTTAATTTCTAAACCAGTACTAAACCATTTTAATGACGAAAGGGAAGTTTACCTAACTATAGACGCTTCATTATTAGGTATAGGCGCTTGCCTTGAACCATGCAATGACACAAACATACTACATCCAATTGGGTATGGTTCTAGGAAATTATTAAACAACGAAAAAATACTCATCCACAACATTAGAACTATTAGGACTATGTTTTGATATTACGTATTTTCGAGAATACTTATGGGAAAGGCACTTTACTGTTTTTTGTGATAACATCAGTCTACAATATTATGCAAATTTAAAAATACCATCGGCTAGAATAGCTCAACTAACTCTAAAAGCTATTAGATTTCAATTTTGATATTATTTATAAAAAAAGGAAAAGAAAATAGAGTTGCTGACGCTCTTTCTAGAAATCCCATCAATAAAATTGATATTAAAAATGACAATGATAATTTGACCATTGACTTAACGGATATAAAAACCAACAAGATCGTTATTTAAAAGCAATCAATAACATTCAAATTGAACAAATCCCAATAAATATTCAAAGAAAATCGAGACAATTCATAATCATAAATGGCATATTTACATTACAAACAATTTAAATCCCCGAACAATATCAATCATCAACTAGTAATTCCGCAATCGCTCATAAACAAAATATTAAAATCATATCATGAATTTCCCATTGGAGGTCGTACTGGAATATCACGCAACATTCACAAAATACGAAATAAATACTATTGGCCCATATTGATTAAAGACACAACTCAATATATCAAATCATGTCAAAATTGCCAAATAAATAAAAAATTAAATGGAAAACGAATCGGTTAACTACAGCCAATACCTCCCTCAAACAGACCCTTAGATAGGTTAACTTTTGATTATTTAGGACTGCTAACATCGAGTAATAATAAAGTAAGTAATAATAATAATAAAGTAAGTAATAATAAAATATTTTAGTGGCAGCATAACACAAAATGTATATTTACAAAAGCTGTTGAGTCAGCTACCGCTTTCATTCCACTATACATTTCATTATTCAAATAATATCACAAGGGGAGTTTTTCGACAATTTTCATCTGACAGAGGTATGCATTTCAAAAACCAACTAGTAAGCGAAGTATGCGATAATTTAGGAATAAAACAAATATTATCAACCAGTTACTCCCACAAAACGCAAGGATTTGTCGAAAAAATAAATGGTGTATTATGCAACGCTCTAAAAAATTATATTGACGACAATAACCAATCAAGATGGTCCTATTATTTACCATACGTCACGTTAAGCTATATCGTCACACTACAAACTAGCACAAAGTTCAGTCATTTTACTTAATGCACGGTTTTGAACCTTACTTTCCAATAGACAACAAAATAATCTCGAAAAACATATTTTATGATATAAAAAAATCACTAAGAGAGCTAAATGAATTGAGAGATAAAATCCCAAACTTAATAAAAATCGCACAAAATGTACAAAAAATGTATCACGATGAAAAACATCGTTTAATCACATTTAAACTAAGAGACTCAGTATTAATTAAATTTTCATTTAATGAGTTAGGAAAATCTTTAAAACTCGCTTCCAAATATAAAGGCCCTTTCAAAATAATAGACAAAATAAATGATTTAAACTATAAAGTTGAATTAACCCTTAACAATAAAACAACTAATGACATAATTCATGAAGAATGCAGCTATACATTCATAGATAGAAAATAATAGGTACCTACCAAGAAAAAAAATAAATGTACCATTTATTATAAAATTAAAAAGTAATCTCGTAATTATCACTAATGTTCTACTACATAAAAAATGTCATAATGATTATCAAATACTTTTTCATCTGATATTGTATGTTCACAAATATTAAAATGTAATTTTTACATATATTATGTGCCATGGAAACGAAAACAATAACCTCAGTTTCTTATCATTCAAGAACCAAAAATAATAGCGTATGGTCTATTCATGTATTTATTATCTATGCGCATATTGTATGTATAAATGATCGAACTCAATATAATATATTTGAAAGAAACAGATTCTGAAGAAGTTTTCTCAAGGCAATTGAAAAAAAGAAACTGTTTATTCCATGCAGGGCCATATTAAACGACAATGTTTAGGGAACCAAACATAAATATGACGGCTTTAATTTAGTATAAACCATTTTTTACAAGTAAATAACCCAATACATTTTTTATCTATGCGCAACTTTTCTACCAGAAGACATGCTTGGATTTCTACGTGTAGCACCTTTTCTGAAACAAAATTGGTATGGAAAGGTACTTTAAAAAGGTTATTTTTCGATTTTCCCAAAAGTTTTCCCAGCAAATCTGAAAAACCGAAACAAAACATGGATAAACTGGGAAAAATGGGAAAATCAGTACAACATTTAAACAAATATTATTAAAGAAAATATGTAAAATATATTTAATTATTTTACTATAAAATGACTTATATATTGTTGACAAAGCATCATTATCAACTTAATTCCACTCAGAAACGTTTTTTCATAAGCAATGGTTTATTGTTGCTTACAAGTATACATTAAATTATCTATAACAGTGGTTTAACCCGTCCCTATTATCCTAGGATGTCTTTTTTTTTTGACCCTCTCTAAAATTTTATCTATGGGCAACCATGACCATTGGTATTACGGAAATTAGGTCCACAAGACTACAAGAGTGTTCTCTCCCAATAAGTACCTAATATTAGATTTCATTACGATTTTAGATATTCCGACAAGTGACATCGTAAATTTGTAAACTAAAATAATTAATATTTATTCTACTGAATATTTTATTACAAACGATATTATTGAATTATTTTTCGCCCCCCTTAAAAGTTTTGTCGTTCTTGCCTCCTGTAGCACCTGCTCCTTTTGCCCCTCCCCCCTTGATACATCCCTGATTCCATAGAATAATGATGATAGTGATAGTATCTTAAAATCTTAAATACATTTAAATTTTAGATTGAACCAAGATTTAAGATAATATAATGGTTACCCAACGGGCTATGGAATTGTGGTTTACATAATTACTCACGTACGTCACACTAGTCCATCCCATATTGAAATTTGGTATTTTATGGTATATAATCTTTAGTATGGCAATTGTATGATCATCCGCGCCATTTGTATGTCACTTGAAATTTAGTTATAACAAAGATAGGAGGCGTGGGCTGGGGTGACATCTCGCTAGCCCGCCCACCACTCAAAATCAAAATTTCACTACATCATTCATGTATATGAATTTTTGCGAGAGAATTCAATTCTTAATTTTCAAAATTGCTTTCACTCCAGCATTCCACCCACCACTTAGAATCAAAATTTCAAATTAAAAATTAATTTAGAAATTATATTGTTTATTCAGTCAATTACTGTATAAAATATTACTATACAACCCTCCTCCCTCTTAGGGACGCCCTTGACTGGGCTAATACCTGATACATTTTAGGATGGCCTCCTCTAGCTACGTGCCTGTGTCTATGGTAGGTACGTAATTTATAAACACAATTTGATATTTCGTTTCCAGATTTTTAAATTCTAAATAATGTTTATTTATGGTTTTTATTTTTCAAATAATGTAAATTTAAAGTATTATTTTTTAAATTTTGTAGATTCAAGGTTTGATTATTCCAAATTACATTCAAAAACCGATTTTTTGGAAATAGTAGTTTCAAATATTTAGAATTCAAACAATTTATGGCACCCCTTTTTAGACAATCGACTGAATATTATTAGCGTTAAATATAATAAAAACAAAAATTCCAAAACTTAGATGATTATAATAATAAAATGTTTTACGTGAAGTAATTCTTTCGTAATAATGAACTGGAGGATTTCTCGGAGAAGCGATATTAACTCATCGTTGGCAAACACGTGAGCAACAAAACGTTAATTTTTATCGTTCAAGTCAGAATATTATTTATATTATAGTATTCACTAAAATAATAAATAAATACAAATTGTTTGCAATCTAAACGGAAAATATTCATTTTTCATTATTATTAATAAGAGAAGGGGAAGACTGAAAAAAAGATGGTTGAATGCAATTGAGAATTATATGAGGGCAATCGGTGTCAAATGGAAGTTTGGAACAACGGTGACCGACCCTAAATGGTTGGGATGAAAGCAAAAGAGAAGAAGAAGAAGAAGATTGTTAGATATTGTTAGTTAAGTAAGAAAAACATGATGTACTTCGTACCATGGGTAAACACGTAGGTAGTAGATGGGATGTTTAAAAGATACCTATGTCTTATATAGGATAAATGATAATTTAATTTACTTACTAAAAGCAACAATACTCCATTGACACCTATAATATTATTCGCTCACATATTTTGTAAAATCTTAGTCTTTATACACTATCATACTGTCACACAGGTGGATTTTAGATTAATTACCCGTTGTTAAAATGTATTTATCTTAAAATTTCGTATCTAATTAACAAACAGGTATGGTTTATTTACATTGTAAATTATAACTATAATTAAAATTTTTAGTTTTCTTCGGTAGATTTATTAATATTAGTTATGTCCCCGAGTTTCCTGTACAGAAATACACAATACAAGTAGAAATTAACAATCACGGCACTTAAGTAGGTATTGTTTATTTCCGTTTTGCATGAAACCAATCAAGTTATTATTATATCGATTAAAAATACATATTTATACAAGGTAAAATCAATTAAAAATTCACGTTTAATTATTCAGGTACTTATATAATAAAAAATATTCGGTTGAAAATCATATGTAAACAGATAATTCGGATTGTTGCATTAGTTAAACCGAAATAGGTATGTGCACGTAAAATGTTAAAAGAACACGAGTTGTACACGCAAGTGAAATTACATCTTTACTCACGATACACAGTATAATAATATACCAGATAAAGCCCGTATTCAATTCAATGTTATTTTGCATAATAAATGAAAAACTAATGAAATTTTTTAATTTGTCTTTTCTTTTTTCGAAGTCTCCTTCTTTTGGAATAATTTCTTAAGGATCGTTTTGAGTATAAAGTAAATTGTATACAATACAATAAATGCGATTAACAATATAAAACCGATGACGTCAACTAAGTAGTACTTCCACCAAGGCATCCCGACCGCTGCGGTCCTCAGGTGTTTCGCTCCTTTATGTCTTATTACGTACTCCGTCCAATAGACGGCACTTTCCGTTGAATTTATAGGCCTGTCTTTGAACCGATTTGCAAGTTTTTTTGCGTTTTCCGCGTAACTAGAAAATTAATTGCATTTTAGTTATAGTTAGGTGGGTAGGTATTCAATTTTTTAAAAAAATAATTCGGTGTAATATCGATATTTTATCAATTAACACAATTTGGCAGTACGATGTAACAGTTAATATTGTAATTTTTTCTCTCCTTTTTACTATCCCATACCTGCTGTTGTTAATTATCGTAGTAATAGCATCGTATAAGGTATCGGTTGTCATCGATTGATAATCCAATAAAATACCAGATCCTTGTTCTACCAGTTTTATTATGTTTCTCGGTTGGTCGAAGAAAAACGGAATGCCTATAACAGGTACTCCTGAGTGTACAGCTTCCAATGTACCCAAAAGACCGCCGTGAGTCATAAATGCACGAACTTTAGGGTGATCTGAATTAAAAAATTAAAAAATAATAATAACAATTTTGATTAAAGGGTATTGAATCGAGATAATATTATAGAGCTATTAATACCAAGTAATATTATAATTGCTTACTTAAAATATCTCTTTGGGGCATCCAGTTGCTAATGAATACGTTATCGGGCTTGTCTGGCATTTCTTCTTCGTATTTCCACAACACTCTAATAGGTAGTTTCGAGAACACATCCTTAAACGTTTGTAATACATGTTTTGGAAGCGTACATACACGTATCAAAGAACCGAACGTGAAAAACATTACTCCATTCGGCGAGTCTTCAATAAATTTCAAAATGTTCTATCGGAAAAATAACGAGAAATTAGTTAAGTATAACAATGATGCATGTTATTGCATCAATTAAATCAATTCAATTTGACTAAATATTATCAACAAATCGTAATTAATGCATTATCTTTATGTGGAAAATGGAAATATATATAGGTATCCTACGAAGATTACCCATTGTAACATTTCTGGAGATAATAAGATATATAATTAAATTGTGTGTGATTTTTTTTTTATATTACTCACAGGAATAAGGACTACAAATATTCATACTGTGGATTCCGCTTAATGTAGTCACCGGTTAATGCGGGCAGCTGTTTAATATGGGTGCAATGGTCTGATCCCGATTCTAATGTAATATAAGGCTACTGATTTCGGTTAAAATGGACAACCGTTAAATGTTGATTTGTTTAATTTTGATAAAAAAAAAACGTTTATTTTATTATTTTTAAAAAATTTGAGTACAGCCATTTTATAGAATTAAATTCATCTGAAAATTTTAAAATTTTTTACTAAAAATCATTAAATATTAAAATGTTCAGAAAAATTATTATTTTTTTAACTTTTTTTACCAAAACAAGAACTTAGTTCAAATATCAATGTTTTAGTCCTTATCATTGCAAGTGAACAAAACAGAATTTGATTATCTTTATTATCTCAGGAGATATTTTAATATCTTCGTGGGACATATATATATATATATATTTATTTTATTAATATCTTATATGAAAAAAAAATTGTAGACAAAACATGATCAACCTATATAGAGTGATTCTATAATCATGATCTATTAATATAATCAATTTATTAGATTTCCTTTCCTTGATAGTTGAGGGCGGTAGTTGATATTTGAAAATAAAACGTTTAGTAAGGGTAAAAATAAAACGATTGAAAAAAAAAACAAAAATCAAATTCTAATCTAACCTATATCGAATAAAAGCGTCGTGCATTACTTGTCTGCATGTAAAAAAGGCGTTTTTTTGTTTACCTTAGGTATGGGTCGGGGTTCTTTAATGTGTATTCCTCCGATTTCCACCATGTTGGGCACCAAGGGTCGCGGCCCGTCTATAGAAAAGTGTCCGTTGACAAACACCATGGATGTGTTGTAAACTATTTCATTGATGTAAGGCGTATTTGGTCCAAAGTTTTCTTTCAGCAGTTTGTCGGCCGGCCACTCGCTGTAATATTTCCACGCCAATTTAAAGTAGATATAATACAATGTATTGATCATGCGCTGTTTGAAGTTCATTTTTCCGGCCGCTCTAGTAACGATCGTCGGTATGTACGAAGGGTTGTCTGGACCACCTACGCGGTCGTAGCTCCAAGGAAGATGTGAGCTGGACATGATGGACAATAGCGGAGCTTTGAAATGGTATGCGAAACCAACGTCACAATCAGCACCGAAGATTTCAGTGAAAACCTGAGTGGAAAATAACGAAAATCATAAATGTTTTGACACATTTACATACAATAGTAAAGGCCATAACAACTATCGCCGCTATAGCCGTTAGCTATCATTGTAATATAACACCAAATAGGTAGTATTATTAGTGTCAATAATCAATAATAATGCCAACGGATACAATATTTATGTGGTGGCTTCATAGGTATTATTAAAATAAATATTAGATAACTTTTACATTTTTGTTTAAATTATTTTCTCATTTAAAAAATATTAAAGTTATTATTACCTAATATGTGCTAAGAGAATGATAACAGGTATACACAGTGAATATTATTAATATTTTATTTTTACATAATATTTTTGATAGATATCTATGTTCTATGATAAATACGAGGTCACAGACGGTGCCCTACGTGTATGCCTATACGGTCCATTTTATCGGCATGGTGATAAAAAATAAAATCACAGGTGAGTGGACCAATTTTATCATGTGGAGTGAGAAACAAATTCAGGCCGGAAGATTAAAATTTATCCAGGTTACCCAATAAAATACGTCTCGGCCTACAAATAAAATGTTTCTCGCTTATTAATTTGAACCAGTGGCGAAGCCAGGATTTGAGGAAGGGGAGGTAAGTACGGTTTTACTTGAGATATGAGTGAAATGAGCAAAGATAAGAAAGAGGGGAAATTTCGAGCCAAAAAACTATTTAGAAAAGTTATTTCATTAATTAAAATTTTACCATAAACAAAAATATATATAAAAAAATGCTTAATAGAAACCTACTGAAATAAGAATATAGTACGTGTCTTTGAGTAACTTTGTACAAAGTTTTATAAATAATGCGAGTAAGTAAAATATTATATAAAAATATCAGGCCACTTGGAAAATTCCTATTTTCCAGACCGACCACTCCGCTCATGTGTCCACTAACCGATTTATGTAGTTTCGTTAAAATCTCTGCGATCAAAAGCTTCACGGACGAATATTATTGTATTATAGTAATATATAAGTTCGTCGAGTATAGTGTACTCATCTCAAACTTTATTATAATGTGATAAACAAACCTTAACACGTATTATATCCGATTGTATAACATTATTATATGATATGGAGCAGCTATCAATTGTCAAAGCTATTAAAACTGAGTATAGTGTTCGTTTATGAAAAAAAAAAAATAGCCAAATGTTACATAAAGGTGTCCGAGATGAAATAAGAACGGTTAACATTGTATTATTAATCAAAATCTAACCTATTGTGCAACGATATTATAATTATATAATAGTCAATGACTTTGAGTTTGCACCGTAAAATATTTATGCTATATCAACTCTACAACGACAGCACATTTTATTGAGTAGGTGCCTAGTTACAGAAATTGCATTATGGTTTTTAGTATAAACCATGAGTACTCGGGTGGAGTGGCGGATTTAGAGGTGGCACTCGGTTAAAATGTAATACCGTCGTGATTCGGACATCGGGGTAAGGTGTATACTCAGATTTTTCGCGAAAGCGACAGTTTTAACCGGAAACAATACCGTGGGACGAACGCACAGGCTCGGTGACGGCTCGAAGGGGGTGTATTTGAATCACGTGATTCACGAAAAACGGGTGGGTGGGTCGGGGGGTCTGCATGTTCAGAAATATAACAAACATTTTTGTTTTTACGAAACAAATGTCATTAAATGAATTTTAGACTGCGGGGATATTTTGACAAATTCAAAATTCATTCAAAATTAAAATTCATTGAAATTCAAAAAATGTCAATTCATTAATGGTAGAAAGGGGGTATTTTCAGGTTGGGGTGGACGGACAATTAAATAGGGGATTCAATGTCAAAATATTTCACGCCGCCACTTCACAGGCATGCATGTAAATATTGCAATATGAAACCAAATCGTATATTTATGTACCGCGTCGAACTTGATGTCGCTCTTGAGCAGCGCCTGCACTTCTGGTAATTTCTGACTCTCCCGGCACAGTTTCATCGAATGATCGGAGATGAACCACTGGTTGGCGAACACGCTGGTTAGATAGGTCAACACCAAGTCGATGCCGATAGTGTTGACCACGGACGGGAACGTTTTCGACAAGTCGATTTCCGTGTAGTTGGCCACCGGCGTCTTTTGCGGAAACGACGTGATCACCGTCACGTTGTGGCCACGGGCCGCCAACGCTTTCATTACGGCCTCGTACACCACCCAGTGACTGCGGCCGTTTACGGGGAACACGCCGAGGATGTTGGCACCGTTGGCGGCCGACAATACGCCGACCAAAGCCACCAAGAGCAGCCCCGTTAAATTCATCTGTATTTGAAAAAAATATATATAAGTGTTAAACACCGCAACAACAATTAAAACGGATTTTACACAAAATATAAAATCAATAAAAACAATTTAAATATCTGCAACCTGTTGCGACAAACCGCGCAAATGCGATTAATATAAACACAGTAACCTGGTCTACTATTCGCCAGCGATACTTGTAAAGCTGCGCAACATAAAGCTACGCGGGTTCGCCTACAGTAGTAGTAACTAATGTTTTACTATTTTGGTACCTTTTTGTAATCACATTTATATTTATATTGATAAAAACCTACATACGTTAAAAGTTTACATATTTACGTAAGATATTGATATAATATTATTTTATTGGTACGAAGTATATAGTGTTTATTTATGTGAACAATTTAGGACGTGCAGAGTCCAGTTGCGAAATATTATATGCCATATGGTAGTAAGTTATGCGTTAATAATAAAATATATCGACGAACATTAATTAATGTCGTTACGGGCGTCTGCTTATTTCCTTTAAATATTATAATATTATAATTATTATATGCAACGCAACAATAGGGTATTGTATAAGTATGGGCCACAACGTTATTAGTGAGGTCAAATTAAACGGCGATAGTTGTTTGGCATCAAAGCTGCATTCTCCGGACGGAGACTGGTTGTCTAAATCTACCTCAGCTGCTGTCAATCTCGGGCGCACCGAATTGGCAGGGCAACTAAGGCTCCGGCGCAACGACCGTGGACAAACTATTTTAGAAATATATTTATACGTGTATTCTCGCACGACCCGGATGCAGGGGCCGACGTGTGAGGTTATCACTCGACTGAACAATAACATGTTGATGCCGAAAAACGCGGACTAAGCAACTTTAGCATGGGGGTTCCAGGGTATATATACCGGCCGCCGAGAACGCTTATTCAGATTAGTCTGAGCACTATCAACCGCAAGCACCTTCACTCCAGAGAGACTTGTAAATTAATTAAAAAGTGTTAGAATATATTTCAACTAAAAATAAAAATACTTATAAAATATTGTGTCTACTCATTCGACTTAAACCTTACTGTGAGTTTAAAAATACGCCTGCAACATTGTAATACATAATAATGTACTCATTTTGAATGCTACGACGTAGATTATTGCTTTTAAAATAGTATACCTATGAATAATTAACATGATATAGTCGTAGTCTATAGTTAGTAAAATATCATCTCAGTAATTACTTATACTGTACAACATTTATGTGTATGACTAGGTATACTGCTACCTAGTAATTTTTTTAATTTCGTCAAATTCAAGGATGCGGAAGAGTTGTTTGAATTATTACCATGTACCTAATACTTAATAACGAATATTCTAAACTTCTAACACGCGATTTGGGAAAATAAATGTACACCACTTTTAATCATTAAGTAGGTATCCATAATATATACTATGCACTATGTTGTACAAAAAAATACATTTATAAGGATGATAAACAGTATTAATAATATGATTATGATATAGAGCTATAATCGAGTACCTTATAGAAACACTGACATGAGCTAGGGTTACCAAGGTCACCAAGGTTTATAAATTAATTGCTTTATCACATTATAATTACTATTATTTTTTAAAAAAATCACAATAATTATATAACTAGGGAAGACTAAACGCTAAACGCATAACATGCAACAATACAACTATAAGAAATTAATACGATTAAAACACTCGATATTGTTTTTCCTTTAAGCGGATCTATGATTATTGTTGCCTACCAATTCCTAATGTTTATTTCTGCTATTTATCTCTTTGTAAATTATTCATACAATACGTCTTAAGTTGTTTTATTTGAATATTATGTTCGATAAATATGCGTGTAAAATTTCAATCATAAAAATTAAAATTGAATATAATGCAATTGTTTTGTATTTTTATTATCTATACCTACGAAAAAAGGAAACAGCAGTGAGAAGCAGAGCTCTATCACTAGGGTCGAATTTCCCCCCAGCTGACTTGTCACCGTCACAATATTATTATTATTATTTTTTTTTAAAAATTGTTTTTATAATAGTTATATTTTAGTGTGTAGGGGTGTTTAAAATCCGGTATTTCCTGTTAAAATATGAAATTTGAGCATACAAATGGTTGGAGAGGGGTTTGAGGTTTGAAATCCCCAAAAGGCATATTCTTGATACATATACAATTATTCTCCTGGCTCCATTTGGGAAGGAGGGGATCTGTAGAGGTGAACAAAGATAAAAACACCCTCCTTTCGCAATAATATGATGAAATTCATATTGAAATCCAACCAAAATTTGATCACTTCAATCCGTCTATAAAACAACTCTATAATTCGCGAGTTTAAGCTCGTTTGGTTTAGAGAGAGGCGCTTAAAAGATCCGAATGTAGCGGGGAAAAGATATATTATAATATATAACAGATACAATACAGTTGCAATAATCTCTATTTACAGGGACAAAATAATTAAAAATGAAAATAGCAATGATACGTTCATAAATTTCTGACACAAAACATTTCACGCTTTATGATTATCAATGATAAACTGACTCTATTACTAGTCATTTAATTTTTATTACCATTAAACATCAATTGATCGCTCGTAAATAATAATCCAGTATTTCAGTATTTACAACGTTTAATTTATATTATCATGTTTTGAATTTTATTTATGTATAAAGCTGATTGGGACTATTTTATATGAAATCATATACATGCATGATGGCGTTTGTATCGTAGACGTTTCTTTTGAAGATTTAAACTTTCAACCTCAACCCTTCCCTTTTTTAGGGTTAAATTTAGTATTTTAATTTTAAGTAAATACCTAGTGCATAGTACCTAGGTAGTATAATAAATACATAGTATTATATTATTATTGGCTTATTATATAGTATTCGTTTGTTAATTGTTTTAAAAGTATTATGTCTACATTTTAACACTGCCTTCCGAAGCAAAAAGGCCGTAAGCGACATTATAATAGTTTTGAGAAAAATAACTTTTTCTGAAACGCCTTGTTTTTTTAATTATTATATCAATAAATACTAAAAAAAAAATTGTTCCTTGCAGTGTCGGCCTGGCCAGGAACGCGGGGCCGCGAATTTGGTCGAGGTTCTGGGTTTTTTTCTTCTATTTTTTACAATATTTGTTATTTTTAAACAAGACCCTCACAAAGCAGGGTCATTGAGATCGGGGCCCAGACATTTATGAGGCGGTCTTCTGTGAAAATAATTGCTTAAATGAATAAATACATATTAGAAAAATAACTTGGTAGTTATATAAAATATGTTCGTAATTTTAAATTTAAACAATCTTTAAGATTTAATTTTTAATTTTTAATCAACTAAAAAATATATGATTATAAAGGCCGTATAGAGTATTATAAATACGTAAATTATAATTTAATAGTGACCATAAATTGAATGCTAAGCGCCTATTTATAAGAACAAAATTTATGAGAACCATGTAATTAAAAAGAAAACGAATATATCGATTATACAATATCGATTACTTTGAATTTATAATACCGAAATTAGGTTGTAATTTTGTGAAGTTGTGACTTTATAAGTAGGTACCTACTTTATGAGCATAATATGACAACAGTAAAATAATTGTACAAATCTACCATTGTACAATATATTGTATATTATTGTACAATATAATGTATATTGTACCAATATACATATCTAACGTTTTAAATATTGTTAATTGTTAGTAAAATATCTAATATTAAAAATAATTTACAGTTATCCTGTTTTTACAATAATTGATAGTGAGATTACACATAAAAAGATTAAATAGGTTTAAATTTGAATTTGAAAAAGTATCGAGATTCAGAAAATGCGAACTATTGATACTGTAGTTAAATCGCTTAAAACACGAATTTCTTATTTAATACTACAGTAATTTAAAAATAACGTATCAGCCTTATTGTTCTTTGTTTTTATTATTCCTTATTTTATTCGAGATATATTTTTTGTTATTTGTATTATTCAATAACAATTTTTTTTTAAGTAACTACCTCATTGATTATTACGAAGTTATATAAGTTCTTTTTTAGTTATAAATGAAAATGGCAATTCTTGTTTTGTAATTTAAATTAAAAACAAACACTACTTTGCTCCTTAATAACTTAATGCTGAAATTTCTATAGTTGTTGTTCAATTGTTCATGGAATAAAAGTAAAAATAAATCGAGGCCTAGAAGAAGATCGCGTCTGAAGCCGTTTTATAGGTCTATTATAATTTTTTTGGATTTCTATAAGAGAAACAAACGAACGGGATTCAGTAAACGACTAACGGATATTCCAAGAATTTCGACATAAGTTATCGCACGATGAAAGATTTGACCGACTATATTATCAACAGATATGTAGGCTCACTATAATTTCAATGACTCGATTTTACGTCATTATACCTTACATTATACATTATAACATTATATACACGAACGCAGACTGACTAATAGATTAAAAAAAAAAAAAAAAAAAACAGATACCTACCTATATAGCTTAAAGTAAAACACTATATTTACAACGAGCGCATGTGAAACACTGTTTAATAATGAAATACTCGTGTACAGAACTATAGAACCAACCAGAAAACTAAAAATATATTATTTAAGTTCAACATCACTATGGTCACTACTTCGTAGGAGAGAATCCAGTATTCATATACTATACTATAATATAATTATGTTGTTAATAGTATTAATTATTTTTTAATAATTATCTTGTTATTAAATCTGAATTATTCTAGAATAAGGAAAAATGTAAAAAAACATTTTTTTTTCTCTGTTTATAATTGGCGATTCTTTGTATTTATTTTTTCGGGTAAGTACATTAGTTTTCCTAGGTTCAAAATTAAAGAATAAAATCGGATGTTTTCGCAATTGACGACTCTATATTTTAGAAAATTTACTGAGAATTATTTGAGATTTTAATTTCTACACGGGTGTTCACATTCGAATTTTCGACGTTTTTTTACAATTATTTGTTTCAGCTTTCCTCGTGTTTATTATGTGACGAAAATAAACAGTAGGTATTAGGTATATGTTCGCATAATATAATATATTGCAAGGAGTTCCTAAAAATGTTTCTATACCTAGTCAGTAGTCTATTATAGTCTAGGCAGTGGCCTGTCTAGAAATTAGCAATAGGAAATCACGTAGCAAATATGAATCGTGAATAAATCGTAAAATCTTCTTCTCTATCCGACTCGACTATGGTAATTGGTAATTTAACAGCTGGAAAAAAAATCAATTTCTAATCAATACATAGAGTTATTCTTCGTAACTTTGCTGAAGTATATGCATTTCGATATTAAATTACTCGTATTTTGTTATATACTTTTAAGCTAATGGGGGAATATAAATTCCCACCCATGCGCATTCCACTGAGTCTGGGGGGAGGGGGCGAGGCCTCTGGATCCGCCACTGGGTCATACGTTCCTTTCAGTATCGCAATGCTCGCTCTAAAAATATAACATTATCACGAGGAAGGGTATCCGTTAATTATCGATGCCACTCCCAGAACACCTGATGTTTAAAATATTTATTAAAAAACACAATAAACGAGTTCAACGCATAAAGTCATACGCAATGCACTTGATTTTCAAACGTCCTACGTCCAATTAAATCGCATAGCGCAATCGTATGCAATATACGAAACTAACGTATAATTATATATCGTTTCTGCTGTTCGGGAACAGTAACAATATAATATTATTATACAGATATTAATCTCTGCGTAATATTGCGCATTGACTACGGAACAAAAATCGATAAATTCGTAATTCTTACACCGATGGTGCCTGATGCTCTATGCCTCTAACTTGTAATGTATCCCATGAATTTAATTTTAGCACACCTAAAATATGTAGCTGTAGTTGATTTCATAAAATTTATATTCTAAAACGCTAATATTGAAATCTTATAAAAAAATCACTCGTAATTTCAGCAGTATTAGAACACCCGAACGCCTTTATAAATACTCGTAATATTGGCATTACAGTACCGACTACCGATTAAAGACGGATTTGCTAAATTAAAGCGTAGAAGATTTTCATCGAAATACAATAATTAAGTAAATGCTTACAGATGTATAATACTCTTGAGTTTTAGACTCGGTTCTATTGATTTTGTTCCTTTCAATATTTTGTCACTGACAGCGTGTTTCGGTATTTAGAGTAGTTTTCATAATAATTAGAAAAAACCAAAATAAGACGAAATATACGATTTTTTTTTCAAATTACGGCATGATTTACGGCATTATTTTAAATTTGATGGCTTATGTTTTCTACCATAAATTAATAAAATAACATCAAGAGATGTTTTTTTTGACAAAGAGTGTAGTTTTTTGATCTGTGTGTTTTTTTTTTAATAATTGGAAAAAAACCAAAAAACAATGCAGACAGTACGGGAAAATGTACGAAAATAATTCTTCTAATATTTTTAATTTTTTAATTTTTTTAATGTAATTTAATTTCAAATGTTCATAGAGACTTGAAATTTTGACAAAAATCTTTATTTGTTTTTCTAGATGTCGTAAAGTTTTCAAAACGTTTAGATACTTAGTGGATAAAATTGTTAGACTAAACAGAAATACTTGAAAATTTAACAGGAAGTTTCTTAAAAGTCATATTTAATAGATAAAAAAATTAAATTGAGTTTAATGTAGTATTTTTTTTTTTATAAAATAATTTTAATATTAAATTTTGATGAAAATCGTTTGAGCAAAAAATTATGTGGAGTAAATTTATTCACTGGCCCATGCAAATTTTTAAATTTTGTTTTGAACTTATGCACATTACCGATTTAAGAACGATAATAAATTCAGTACTGAGCGGACTGATTTATTTTCGAAATTACAACTTTTTTAAGTTTTATATTTGTCGTATAGTTTAGTGATGGTTGTACGTATCTGTTATCATCCCAGAAATAATCAACCCGAGTTTCAAAAAAAAATGTTTTCACTTCAGGGAAAAAACAAGTAAATTTTGTTTCAAAAAATAAAAATGAGGTAAGTTAGTATTTTTTTTTTATTAATTTTACAGTTAAATTCGGTCATAAATCGTAAATATTACGGCCTTTAAAAACATGTACAATCGAGCTTCGTTCCGAATGGTCTCGTTATCAACGTTATCTCGTTATAGGTATAAATTAAATAACTTTATGTATTCCACCTTCCCCACCATTCACTTACAATAGTGATTTATTTAAAATACCTATTGGTATTGTCGAGTCATTACTGTGTACAACCTACATGGTTTTGTTTCGATTCATTACGGAATTTTATACGGTACATATTATGAAGTAAATTGTTCGTTGTGATAATAAATTGATCAAGTAGGTACTAAAGTCGTGCATATTTTAGTTTATTATAAAATAAATAATGAATATTGAAATCGATTTCAAGTACGTTTTCGAATTGTGTTATACATTTGTATGGTATATGTGATGGTTGAAGCATTGATTTCGAGCTTAACACGCTACGCGAACGGATTTCACGGCAATTTTAACGTCTTCGAGTACAGGTTTCGCATCACACGAACAAAATATGTAAAACGACGTCCCTGAATTCCGTCCATTTAGTTTCACCTGTGTAAAATCGCCGTCCAAAACGGAATGCGCAATCGTAACAAACGGTTTACACGCGATGCTTGTGGTTTTTCGAGACCGCGAAGTACATCCGTATTGAACGAGTACATTCAGGCCCGGCTCGAGCGTTTAAACGCACCTAAGCAAATTCAAGTTTGCCGCTCCTTATACGTGTAAACACTATGTAAAAACGTTTAAAAGCCGCCGTGGGCGCGGGCCTATGTCGCCTGTACTCCTCGAGCCGGGCCCGAGTATAGGCACAGGCGGAAGTAAGTAATCAAAGTCGTACTTACGTTCGTTCGCCGGAGGACGTCGAGGCACGCGAGGGACCTGCAGAACGTTTACGCGTGGCTCGCAAAGGCCGTCACCGGAATGAAACGACGGACGACGGACGCGGTCATTCGTACGCGATTATTACGTAACAATAACTATTGCATACAACGCACGAATATAATAATAATAATATTGTAATGTACCGTCCGTTCGATAATAATTTTCAAAAGAATCGACGGGCGGGGAGGGGGCAAGGGGGAACGCGAAAAAAAAAAACGGGTTACGCGGCGTCGAGACGGGCAAATATGTTTCAGAAAAAAAAAAATCGGAAAAATCGGCAAAAAATCCGTCCGCGTTACGTAAACGTCGGCGCGTATTTTTTTTTTCTTCTTTTTCCTCGGCGCGGGCGCACCACACTGACGCGCGCTACGGGCTGGTTAGGTCGCGACGTACGCGCGGACCGGTGTCGTTATAAAAACTCCCGTAGTACGCATTGATATTATTTCGTTCGCGGGCCGGAGGTGCCCGCGGCCGAACCGGCAACGGCGAGCAGACCGTTCCCTCTCCGCGACCGGCCTCGACCGGTCCTCGTGCGCGTCGCCGCCGTCGGTTCACCGACAACCGCACGGTACGGACGTACACTTAATAATAATAATTAAGGCTAGAAAATTAATGCATTGAAAAAAAAAAAAACATTAAAATTTATTGTCGTATTTCGGTAAAATAACATCGAAAATACCAATCAATTATTTTATTTACCAAACGAATATGTAAATACTCTAGTTTTTGGGTAAACACTAACTCCGTGCATCGTCTTACCGAATAATATTTCCACCATTGCCATCACAATAATCGACAAAGTCAGAAACAACCGTCAACTATTATTATATAAATATCTGCCAAGGCCCCTGTCGTTATTTTATTTCTAACGTAAACGAAAATTGAATCAAGTGAATAATATCTAAAAGTGTACAAAATTGTATAATAAACGAGGAAAATCAACAAAGTTGCAATCAAATCGAAAAAAATTACAAGAATTGCAAAAAGTTGCACTAAAAATGTTTAGATGTTAATTCGTACGGTGCATGGAACGAATTTAAAGCTTGTTTAGTATTAAATCATCCGGACAATAGAAAAAAAAAAGTTGCAAGTGCAACAACTTTCGAGCCCTAATATTAATAACAATGTTGATTTTACGGAATAAAATCCCAATTTCAATTTTAAACAGCCAGCGCGTGTAACAGTGTATGCATGCATAGTTATGCCATTTGATACGTAGAATTATAATAAACAGTTAAAATTAAGACGTAATAGGTATAGCAATAGCTGATAGTAATAATCCATGAGTTAAACGTAAGAATATAAGGAATTCGCGTCGTGTATGCTATCTACTGCACCGAAAACATATTTACCGCAACCGCAATCTACGCCATTCCTTTCGGGGTTTTTTACCTCTGAAAACGACTTTAAATTCTTATATTATCGTTGAAAAAAAAATAAAAATCAACGCGGAATGGAGTAGATTTAATGTTCAATAGGTATCCGTTACTGCGGGTTACAATTTATATACAAAATGTTGTACGCGCGTAGGTATCGGTGTTTCAAAGGCTACCTACACGTCTGGTGCAAAGGATAAACTAGATTATAGAGGAATCGGGTTTGGTGGTCGGTACCATATCATACACAATCCTGATCCTAAAAAAAAAAAAAAATAAAGAAGCCAATTTCTAATCAATGCATCGAGCGTTTCCTCGTGATTTGATTGACGCGTATGCGCATTTCGGTATTAGATATCGCTCGTATCCCTAACCACCGCCTCCCCATGCCCGCGCCAACGATCCTACACTATTATACGTAGGTATTATAATATCGTTAAAACAACAACGATACGTGGTATATTGTACATAATACTATATACAATATGTACTTACAGACGAACGTTTTTTTATAATATGGTCGCTGTGTTATAACGAAACAGGAAAAAAATCTAATCTCTCGCCGTAGGTTTTTTAACGTAACCGGTTTTTCGTACATTGCCGTTGACGCGCTCACCGTTGTATATTCATAATACGTGGGATGGGGGGAGGGGGATAACCGTCACTCGTCATTGTCTCGGAGAGTATATTAACTTTTTCCGGAATTTTTCTAATCAGAAAATTTAACAAACAAAGCATCTCTGAAATGTTATACGTTTCCGTTATTTTCGTAGTCGAAACGATCGTCTATTATTACTTTTCAAACGGCGACCCGTATTGAAAATTCCATAAAGCATACGGAGATTAATTTCAATACGTTTTGGCGTTGAAATTATCGGTGTCTCGTTCACTTGTCGACGAGACAGTTCAATTTAAAGTTTGGGCAGGCGGAGAGTAGTGGAGCGTCATTCGTGTGGCGGCACGGCACGTGGTGTTTGAATTTAGGGCTCCACTACTCTCCGCATACACAGCCTTTAATACTCCAAAATCTATTTTCAATATACGTCATCATTTGAAAATCGAAAGTGTATAGTCGTTTCACCCCCGAAAATATGGATGACGAAAATGTAAAATTTTATTGATGCTCGTTTGTTTAATTTTCTGAAAAAAAAAATTAGTATAAATGTTTATACTTTTCGAGATAATGAATGATCTCATTGAAGATTGATCACGTTTTATATTAGTATAAAATCATCAAAAATAATTTTGGGCAGAAATTGATGCCTATATCATACTCCTTCAATCAATACGCATCTGATGTCATTACAAGTAATATGAATCAATACATTGTTAGGTCATTTTGTAAAATATTTTCATGTTTTATGTGTGTTGAATATTGTCACCACATAGCGATAAGAAAGTACAATAATATTACAAGAAATTTGTAAAGCGTACACGAAATATTAAAAATAAGGCCAACGTGGGGGGGGGGGGTGATTATAACACCCTATCCCCACTCCTTCCGCGAGCACGTCCCCGATAACGGAATAGTTTGTGTGATTTTGAGCCCTGAACCCATAGTCTATACAGTCTTTGTATTAAATGTGTGCAAGTTTAGTATAGTGTGTAGTTTTATATTTTAAGTAATATAATAGTAAAATATCTTCAACATCATACGTATTTGTGCTGGAAAAAAACGTTTAAGCAAGAATCTTATAGGTAGGTAATTGCAGGATAGAAGTATTTTCTCGGGTACCATTAGTATCTAATACTAATAAAAGGAGGTATTTTTCGGTTTGCTTACAGTTTAATGTGAATTCCGAAACGTATGTATCAAAAGTTTGAATAGAAAATCGGTAAAATAAGAGGTAAATAGTATTAGCCAATAGTATTACTGATGTGTTTAATTACAATTTTGGAGACTTTACTCTCTTTAATTATTATTTTCTTACGAATGTTTTTCTTTCCAAATTAAAAACTACAATAATATACCCTCGTGTTATCCTATTTATTCTCTTGCCCAAATTAGTATGAGTATGTATAAGTCGTCATGTATATTAATAACTGTGACCAGACCGTGACCAGAAATCTGATAAGGAGACATTATGGATAAAACATTGAATGTTTAATGCACACTATTAAAAATATTAGGAATATATATTTATAATATTATTATAATGTATTCATTAATACGATTAATAAATAAAGCAAAAGCAAATTAAATACTTGTAGATATTATTTATTATTTCGATCGGCCTTATACAGTTGTTTTTTTCCGGGAGAATTTTTTTAACGGAATATTATTATGTGGAAATAATTCGGACCAGAGGGGATTACTCTGTAGGTATCACACTAATTCAATACCGCGATGATAACCTTATGTTGTTGTAAGTACTACGCGATAAGAATAATTAGAACTAAAATCATTATTTATGACAGTAATATATATTTATTACCGACGAATAGATGAAACTGAAACGGCGATAAAGAACTAAGTACCTATATGCACGTGATCCATTTAACATTAAAATTTATTCAACATATAATGAGCAAACGAATTTAAATAACTACATATTTTATCATTGAACTAATGATACCTATTTCAGTATAGACGCAAATAGTCCAAATATATTTTTTTTGCTTTACACTCCATAATATTGATCACCTATATACTATATTTGATATTTACTTGATTTGGGGGGGGGGGGATTGACTGAGTATTTTGGATGCTAATCCCCCTAATACTTTTATACACATCCAGGGACGTATTTTGGAGAGAAAGTAGATCATTGGCCCCGGGGGCCGAATTTTGAGAGGGTGTCAGAATTTTAAAACATCGTAAAATAGTTGTTTATATCATTATATCAGGATTATATTATTATTACCAAATGGATAAAATTAATAACCGACAACCTGCCATGCACAATAACAAAGTTGGTAGTAATGACTTTTGGACTTTGGTATCACTATGCGAATAATCGGTATATTCAACAAATATTATTAAATAAAGTATATAATTATTATTAATTATTAATTATTAATTAATTAATTTATTTATTTATTTACCTAATTAATTATTTTTTCATAATAATATAACATATATATTTTTGACAAAGCATCACTATCAACTGAACTCCACTGAGAATCGTTTTTTCGTTAGCAATGGTTTATCATAACTAACTGGTATAAATTAAATTATCTATTCAGTGGCTGCACCCGTCCCCATTATCCTAGGACAGCTATTTTTTCTTTTTTTTCATTATTGTCTGGCCTATCTTAACCATCCCATATCATAGTAAACAGTTATTTTTAAAAGAGGGCACGCAAGTATCAGTGTCCCAGGGTGTCAAAACGGTAAATACGTACATCAGTACCAAGCTGCAGGTGTATATCGATTCAATGTATCAAACATAGTGATACCTGCATATTTGATACATTGTCGAGGCTATACGAGTGCACATAGATTAGGTTAGTACCTACATTAGATTTCGAATATAATAATAACCTTTTTAAAAACTATAATAATTTTAAGTATAACATACTTGAAATTAATTTAGGCTATAAAGTTCGTGTAATATTTTTAAATTATACAATTATCGTCAAACTACTCGATGCATTATATTACTATAAGTATTCACTTTGCTTTTAAACTATCTATTTGTGTAAGTCATAAAAACTGTAAACATTATAAAACATATAACTTTAGAATTAAAATGTCAAACTTAAAGGAGGTGTGCATCTATTTGCAATTGTATAATAATACAATTGTACTTGTAAATAGTCTTGCAATAAACTAATCTATCTTTGGTCCCTAATTATTTATTTAATACCCGATATTTACCTATTTTATGACATAATATAAGTGGGTAGTGTAGTTTATCCAGCTACCAATAATAATAACAAAATATAATAATGTATTATAATATTGTTTTACACGATTGTCATCGACGTCGGCATTATTATTGTTATGTTAAAATATAATAATATAGGTACGTTTATTGAATAAAATATGTTACGCGGTCACCGGCCGTATAACTGGGGCTACTGTGGCGAGTTGACGCGTTTATTTTATAAAAATTGTTAAAATTATTATTTAAATATTACTGTGAAAATATATATTTGTATAATATAATACATACAATATTTAAAGATTAGAATAGAACCTAGATTAGAAGATTAGAGCCTATTTCAGTAATAACTATTTTCCCGTTTTCTCGGTTTTCCCATGTTTTCCCCGGGTTTTCCCATTTATTGGGAAAACTCCTAGAAAAATCAAAAATCGACCTTCTTAAAGTACCTCCTCAGTTCGATTTCAGAAAAAGTGCTATCGCTATGAATCGGATCAAAATTGCTGGTAGAAAAGTTGTCCACAGATAAAAACAAAAAAAAAAAATAAACAAACGTCATTGAAAAATGATAAGCTTCATCGCTTCACTCAAAATCTAAAATGTGTATGTTCTATAAAATAGATTAGAATCGTCAGCAAGTGCGCCAGAATCGTGACGGACCCGAACCGGGAGGTGTATTGCAAAAGCCAACCGTAAATCAACGTTTGGAACTGGATGTTCCACAGGCCCAGCAGGTGATAGTACAAATCGAACGTGACATACAAGCACAACGAACACAGAGCCAGTCCTAAATGGAAGCTGAACAGGTCGCTCAGGTTTCTGATCACCTCGCGTACCAGCCGGTGTTTGATTTTTAACCGTTCCGTGAAATCAGCCATCGAACCGAAAAATTCTCTCGTTTTTTCTTACGTAAAGTTAACTATCTTAACCCATTATATCCTCGAGTACCCATATGGTAACGTATAATTTCATTTAAAAAAAAATCGAAATACACAAATATACAAAATGAAAAAGTTATTTTAACGTTTTTTGTTTAAAAATGAATATTAACCATAATAATAAAAAACAAATTTTATAACATCGTACAACACACAAAGATAAATTCGCTCAAATGATTGGTTAATTTTTTGCCCAAGCGATTTATGATTTTCACAGGTAAATTTTGGGTCATTCGCCTAAATGAATGACGCCTGGCGTCTGGCGCGCAGCGATTGCAAAATGTCCCAGTCGAAAAAAAATAACAAAATCATGACTCTGTAGGTCAAAACTCGTCAATAATGCGAAAGGTAAATACAATTGAAAAAAAAAATCAAAAAAAATCACTACTCTGCTGGTCAAACAACGTTAATAATGTAAAAAGCAATTATAATTGAAAAAAAAATCACAATTTAGTGGGTCGATCACCGTTAATGAAGCTTCAATCATCGCCATCATCGTTTGGTGATGGCCATAAATTCATATGGATTCCTCGTCACTTGGAAATCCATACAGGTTCGTCAAAATATTGCAAATCATACCATTGTAATGCGGCAAGGCTACATCTATATATATATATATATGCGAAACAAACATATAAATATTTAATTTTATACTTGCCTGCGGTATAAAATATTCGACTAAATGTTCGAAAATATAAGTAATAACACATTTGACGAAGTCGCGATTTGTCTTCACCGGTTTTTTTTTTTTTTTTAAATATCGAACATTATTAGGTACGATACTAGATGAAACGGATACTCACGACGGTGACAGCAGGCAGTGAGAAGGAGGCGCCGGAATGTATACCGGAGACGCCGGAATTCGCAGCAGAGATTCCGGACAGAACGGTGACGTTACCTAACTACACGGCGTGTGTGTCGGGCTGTATGGCGTAGAAATCATGTTGTAAGTACGCGTAAAATTGTTCATTCGGTCGCAGCTTTCTGAGTCTTCACTCTCCGAATCGCTTGATACGAGTATCGGTTCGTAAAACGTAATTCCTGTATTCACGTCCGATGGTGACGACGCATTAAGGTCGTACCTGTGCGAATAACCGTAATATATTTTATTCGATACTTACAATACAAAATATTTGACTAAATGTTCGAGAATATAAATGTTTATACATTTGCCGAAGTCGCGATTTGTCTACACGGGTTTTTTTTTTTACAGTTTTTTTTTTTTTAAATTGCGAACATTGTGATTTAGTTAAGATACTGTATTAGACGGATACTCACGACGGTGACGGTGGGCCGTGCGAAAGAGACGCCGGAATCCGCGGCAGAGATTCCGCACTGTACGGTGACGATACCTGACTATACGGCGTGTGTGTCGGGCTGTGTGACGTAAATCTTACGCTGTACGTACGCGTAAGACTGTTCTTTTCGTCGTAGCTGTCTGAGTCTTCACTCTCCGAATCGCTTGACACGAGTTTTCTTTTTGAATCTTGATTTCTTACTTACTTAAAATAATATTTTTAAGAATCATATAAAAAAGGGATAGGAAACCGTTGTCTAAATGGTCTATAATTGTATAAAATGTGGAGACGATTTTTTAAACAAACTCCACTACTGTTCTCTTACCCAAACTTAAAAGTGAAAGCGCAGTGCTTCATGAAACCGATCAAATACGATCTTTCGTTTTATATTTGTTCAAACAAAATAAGTGTTATTAGTGTTTTTTTCTTTTTTTATCATCTTATGAGACCACATTGGTGGTACTTTAGGGAGGTCATTTTTTGATTTTCCTAGGAATTTTTTCAATAAATGAGAAAAAAATAGGAAAAACCTGGAAAATGGAAAAATAGATACAATATTAAACAAATATTATTGAAGAACATATTATTTAATACATATGTAATTTCATGTGACATATATACATGTACTCAACTACGAACAGTAGTTGAAGTATAGAATTGCCAAGTGCTGGGATAAGGGAACTGATGTTAGAACGTCGCGGCGCACAAGTAGTATCATTCCCTTGGCTGTTCGGTCAGTATAAAGCCAGCTACCAAGTTCTAGAGTTAAGTTTAAAAAGTTTTAAAAAAGATTAAAAGATTAAAAATAAGGTTGCCATTGCCAACTTTTTTATTATTTTAATCTTTGTTCTTGTCGTGAAAACGCACATGATTGAAAAAAAAAATACTTTTGACCGAGCTCCGCTTAAAATCGTTTTTTGTTATCAATGATTTATCATTGCGTACAATTATAAATTAAATTCCTCTTTATATCCTACGTCCCCAACGTCCCATTTATAACAATGGCCGCACCCATCCCCAGTATCAGCTCTATTTTGAAATATATTAGTTTTACTAATTTTTACACTTGTAAACAACTCTACTATTAGAAACCTTTTGACTTATAATCATGTATTGATATATGTATATCATAAAAATATGTATATACATAAATACAGGGTGTCCCACGAAGGTATATCCATAGTAATATCACCGAAGATCATAAAAATAATTAAACTCTGGTTTTTTTCTTTTTTTTATATTACTCACTGAAATAAAGACTACAAATATTTATATTGTAATTCATTTTTGATGTTTTGGTAAACAATTTAATTAAATCATTTTCTTATTTTATTTTATTTGAAACATTTGAAGGCAATCATATTCTTGAGTTTATTTTTCTGAAAATTTTGATTTATCAACTTTTTATTTTGATTAAATTCATGATTTTTAATAATTTTGTATAGTTCAAAAAAAATAATTTTACAATCAATTACTCGTAATAATTATAATTAATTAGATAATACGATTATAGCCTGCTGCATAATTATAGGTAATTTTCTCTGAACTTTAAAAAATTATTAAAAATCACGAATTTAATCAAAATTAAAAATTAATACATCAAAATTTTCAGAAAAATAAACTCTATAAATGGAACTAAGACAACTATAATCATAACCTTGATTATGGCTAAAAGTTATTTTTTAAATTTCTATCAAAGCATTAAAAAATTGTTTGTAATATAAATATTTGTAGTCCATATCCTTGTGAGTAATATAAAAATCGAATTTGATAATCATTATTATCTCCAGAGATGTATTACACAATGAGTATAATATTTTTGTGGAACACTCTGTATATTATTATACAATATATTTATTAGTTTGAAATAATCTTTTAATTTTAATAGTAGTTTTTTTTATTATACTATACTTCGTATGTTTTGTTTAAAAATTATGACATACGTTTTATTACCATCATTGGAGAAACAAAATAAAAAAAATTATACTCGTAATTAATAAATTAAATTATAGTATGATGTACTATAAGTAAATATTATATTCAACAAATTATAATTAGAAAATAATATACCAAATAAACATAATAATCGTAACACTGAAAGAGTACGCGACTCAAAAAATACGATTTTCGAGTTATTAATATCAAAACATGCAGAATGTCATCCTTTATAATTTAGTATACTTGAATTTTTTCATTTATTTAACATTAAAGGCAGTATGAATTCAAATATCTTTACGTTTCCTTAAAATAAATTATAGTTTTAATGTTAAATATTGAAATTGTTGAGATGTAACTTTATTTTGATCTATTTTTTTTCCGGATTAACCTACATCAGTGGAGGATCAATTTTTAGATTGCTACCCCACTGCTGCCATCGTTTATTAAAGAGTATAACACTCATTTTGATCCGACTAATGTTGTTACGCAATATTTTTCTAACCAGAATAAAGTCACATCTTAAAAGTAACAATTTTTCATAGGAAAAATGATTGTACATTATGAAGAAATAAGAATTATGAAACATTGAAAGTTGATTTTCCAACATTTTCATAATTTTTGATTTGTATTTGTATTCTTTCAAGGTGCGATATATAGACAAATAAAAACAAAATATATAAACGCGAAATTGAAATATATTAATAAATTAATGAAATAAAATGTTCTTTTTTAAAGTTTTTTACTAAAACATAAACATTTAATTAAAATATAAATATTTGTATTCCTTAACCCTGCGAGTGATAAAAACAAAAACAGTATTTGATTATCTTTATATTATCTTGGGAGATACAATAATGGATATATCTTCGTGGTACACTCTGTGCACACTATGGTGCGGTCAAAGTAAGTAAATTAATAGATCCTTTCAGTACGGCTTCAAATTTTGGAGCTCTCGTGCCGCTTCAGGAATTTGACGGCCCCGTGCACCGTACTGTGTTTGTGCTGTGCAGCCACAGTCACCGATCGATGTCCTTGGTTTTTTGACCACTGTACCACTTTGTCATCCTTGTTTGTGGAGTGCTTTGTCAGAGTGAAACGGGCGAAGGATTCAATAAGATCGGGAGTCGTTCCGTGGTCCGTGTGGCTCCATACCCGAGAATATTTTGGGCGGTTGGCTTCAGACGTCGCTCGGTTGGTGGATGCCATTGTTCTGCGGACCCCACTGCTCATGCACGGTTTCAGGGGTGGACGGGATGGACCGAGGAATTCCCGTCGTTGAATTTAACGGGACCACGGACCGCCATGTACTCGTGTAAGTTTCGGTACTTTCCATTACACATGATGAGATAAAACTGTTCGATCAATAAGCGATTCCGGGAGCGGTTGTCGTAAGAATACGTTATCGACCGTCGGTATCGGATGGCTGCGTACAAAACAAATTATTTGCGAATAAAAATATTACTGAGATTGAGAGATTGTACACTGTAAGAGTAAAATATAACGTCTACACATTATATAAAAAGAGCTGATACAATCTGTCGGTGTGCCATTGCAAGTGTACGTGGGAAGTTAGGAAGGTAGGACACATAAAGTTATTTAATTTATATCTATAAGCGACGAAAACCAATGTTAAAGAATTGCGATCTTGAGCGAAGTTTAATTATTCATTTTTCAAATTGCTGAAACATATAATTCCGTCAAAATTTGACATTGAAAATACTATAAAAAAAACAGATTATTATATTATTATTTTCTACCACTGTAAGTACAACTTATAATGGATCTTGTGTTAAATTGTCAAGCATTTATGTTTGGTCAAACAATTTTATCCACATGATTCCTATTAAAGAAAAACAAAAAAAACCTAACCTTCGCCGATGAATTTCTCAGTACAGTGGTTTTCAAAATGACCTCCCGGTAAGTAAAGTACCTTTCTAGTCAGATTTCTTTTCAGAAAAAGTGCCATCATTATAAATCGGAGCAAAATTGCTGGTAGAAAAGTTGTTCACAGAAAAGAAAAGGCCGAAATATTTTTCAACTAAAACCTACATTTCTTACATTTTCTCGTTTTTCCTTGGGTTCTCCCAGAAAAAAAAAATAAACATTATTGTAAAACGCATACATACCTCGCTCCACTCTAACTCTCACTCAGAATCTAAAACAGAAAAATAAACATTATCATTATTGTCATTGATATGTACTTCTTGATTTCTTTTTACACGGGAAACTCCGGGCTGGACATCTAATAATTTAATAAACGTATTCGTATTCTTAAATATATTGTTTATTAATATACCAGAAAATATACACAATATCTAAATGCATTATACAGTTCATAAGTTGCACATTTTTTTTTTTTTGACATTACAAACAAGTTTTACAATTTTATTTAAAACATTTTGTACATAAAATAATAGTGAGAAACAAATTATTATTATATTATATTATGCTAACACACAAAACGTACATTATTTGTTTATTTATTGTATTTATTCTCTTTTAAATTTTATGAAACCATGGATATGATTTTTCAAAGTTTTTATTGTCAAACAAATTATGCTTAAACCAATTGATAATATCAATACAAAGGTGATAAGAACATCGATCAAAAAATATTGATACCAAGACAAATTGAGTGCAGCTGATTTTAAATGATGCGCACCTTTGTGTTTGATTATATATTCTGTCCAATATAATACGTCTTCTTTCGGTGTTTTCGGACGGTCTTTAAATCGCATCGAAAGTTCCATCGCTTTTGATTTATACCTATAAACTCAAGAATATTTTAATATATACAATCTTTATGTTTTATAATAATTATTGTAAACATGGGCCGAGCATAGGTGCAACTAGGGTGCTACATGGGGGTTTTCAACGACTCCAAAAATACATAATGGGCTTTTTTATTATATCGACTAAATGTTTTATCCATGTTTTTCATAATTAATAAGCACAACAAAGTATAGATTACCTAGAAACAATGCATATTTGTACAACAAATAAAGTTAAAAAAATAACAGTACATTTTTTGTACAAAAATTGTAAATGAAATATTGTGTAGTTGCTTATGTTCTAAGTTTCGTGTAAAGGGGATTTTCGGGATATTGTTTCCATAGGTCTGCAATGGTGTCTAAAATTTTAGAATTCCCAAAGTTGGTGGTCTTGTTGCGCCTATGGTGACGAGTGTCTGGCCAATTCTATAATATATAATATTATTATTTGTGGCAAAAGTGAAAATGAAATTGAGTAATCACGATGAAAATAATATTATACAACAATATAAACAAACCTGTACCCGGGAATAATATTTAATGTAAGCAGATGTAGAAAATGATAATCATTAATAAATCTTAAATTTTTCTTTTATAACCCGGCAATGGCAATGTGAATTTAAAAGCCAGATCCGAAAAAGCCAATTTTTATTCAAGATTTTCCTTGCTACTTGTAGGGATGTTACAGGAAATTTCGGTAACGAGGAAATTATAACAATTACTGATAGGTAAGGTAATAAAATTGTTTATTACTTATTATCGTTACTATGTCGACCAACGATAGTAGGCATGATATATATTTTATTTTTTCATTTGTTTATAGAATTATCGTTTATTAAATTCGTTACCTGAAGTACTAGGTATTAGTGGCCGCTGCTATTCGAAATACCATTATTTTTTCTGCTAGAAAGAAGCTAGATCGAGTAAAATGGCTTTGCGCGTATATTTATTTCTGTTTTTGATATGTATATATTTTTAAATAACATGACCTCATAAATATGAACACGATAACAATTTATAGGCAATGACAACTATTCCTTAACTGTAGTTAGGTATTGTCATTATTTTTTAGGTATTGTTATCATTTTCTAGGAATTGTCGTAATTTCCTAATATCTCAACATTTCTAGTAACATATTAAATTACTAAATTACATTACTATAAACAAATATCAAAAGTTAATGTATTTTTAAGCCAAAAGGGAAATATATCCTCTAACATCCCCCCTGAGAATGTTACTGTATTAAACTACAATAGTTCTTGTGGAAAGTGTGTGAATAACATGATAATCACCGATAATATCGACGGTGTTTTGTTAAAAGGGCGTATACGATTAAAACATTTTTTTTCAGAAAGCGAAAAAAACAGTAAAACAGTTTTTAATAATGTTTATTATGAAAAACAATAAAATTGCTTGTACACATAGTATCTTGTACACAAAGTAAACATGCATTGTATGTGGTATATGCCTTTGTCATTTTAACAAATCAATATTGATTCAATTATATTTTAAAGGGCGCTTGGATATTTTTTAGTCGACATTACCAACTTAATTTTCTGTACTTAAATACGTCCTTTTACCAGTTTAGGTTTCTAATTTTTATGATTTTTTCAATACAAAAAATGTATTTTTGGTTTTTACTGGTATACGTCATTATCTTTTATAATTGTTTATATACAATTAATAACGAAACTCACTTGGCATAATTATTAATAATTTCTCTGATAGCATTCAACAATATTTCTTTGGTCAACGTTTTGTGATCCAGCATAACACCCGAACCCCAGTGTACTATGTTCGCAATGTTATGTGATTGATCAAAAAATAAAGGAATTCCCAGTATAGGAACTCCGCTGTCAATGGCTTCGTATATTCCGGACATGCCGCCGTGGGATATAAACAATTTAACATTTGTATGTTCTGGAATAAATATGTAATAATGATTAAAAATATTTATGAATAAACGTATGCGATTATTTTTAAGAAATTAATCTACTCAAACTGGTTTTTTTCTCGGATCACTTTTTGGATCACTAACAATGCTCTGATTTTTTCATGCAGTATCATTAAAGGTGCAGCTGGTATTTATTTTAAAAATTGTTCGAAATCCCCAATACATTTTTCGAAAACACTTTTTTGGCTACTTATTTTTCATGCACTACTTTAAAAGAGACTGATTTTTCGTCCATGGTACTTTATTCGAAAGCAAATGTCTCGATTTCAAAGAGTTTTTCTATGAAATTTAAAAAAATCTGACAACGAATTTCGAGTTATATAGATATTAGTTTTATTGATTTCTGTGTTACCTACAAGGGAAAAACTAATACTAAATTACTAATTAAATTAAACTTATACTACTGTATTCAGAATCGTTTTTTTTTTTCATTTCAATAATTTATCGTTGATTTCAGTATATACTCGTATATTAAATTATTTAATATTCTATGTATCATTTAAACTTCCTATCTACTAAAGTGGTCTACCAACATGGTATGAAGCGATACCGGCTTATATTTGTTTTATTTTAATTAATATTGAAATAAAAATACACTGTGTTAGAAGTTAAAAATCGAAGAACATCCAATAAAAGGCATTTAAAAATATTAATTTTATGACTTTTTACGTCAATTGTAGTGTTCAGTATTATATTTATTATTTATATTATATTGATATATATATATATATATATATTGATTTCTGTGATTATTAACTAAATTATTACTAAACACAATTGAATATAAAATTCTCAAACAAAACAAATATAAATGTTTACATACGTTAAATCCCACTAATAACTTATTTATACATCAAGCCGTTAAAAATACATGGAAATCACTAAAATTCAACTAATTACTTACCTAATATATCTCTTTGAGGGAACCATTTTTTTACAATTACGTTTTTCGGTAAATTTTTAAGGTTTTGATTTTCGTGTTTCCACAATACTCTTTGAGGTATTTCCCTTAACGCGTCTACGAATGCGTTTTGTAAACGATCCGGTACAGTCTCCATTTTTGTGGTAGATCCAAATGTAAAGTATATAGCTCCATCCGGGGAATCGTTGATGAATTGTTCAATGTCCTAATGAGAAATATCAATTTTATTGCGGTTTACAAATGCTGGTGAGTTCCATAGGTGTAACTTAAAGGTGGGGTGGTCTAGTGTCTTTAGCACTCCAAAAAATAAAATTATCCCCCCCCCCCCCCTAAAAAAAAGCCAATAAGCTTTTTCATAGCAATGACCAAATATTTTATCTACGTATTTCATAATTAATAAGCAGATCAAAATACTAATTTCTTATAAACAGTGCGGTATGTGTGCACCAGGTGATCCATTCATGTGGATACACTCATTATCTCGGAAAGTATTAACGTTGTCCGGAATTTGTTTTCTTGAACATACAAAAAACAAGTTGCTCTACAATTTTATATTTAAGTTATTTTTTGTCACCCTTATTTTTGAGGGTAAAACCACTACCTACTTTTGATTTTAAAATGACAACCTATATAAAAATTCAATAAATAGATGGATTATTAGTTAAAATAAATTTTAGTGTTGACATTTTTGATTTCTATCAATCCGTTGACGAGATATACTTTTAAGTTTTGGGTTGGAGGAGAGTAGTGGAGTATCATTTATGTGATGGTACAGCACACGATGTGTTAATAATGCATTACTAGGTAGGTAGGTAGTGTTTTCACTCCCATAAATAAGAGTGACAAAAAATAATATAAATATAAAATTGTAGAGCTTGTTAGAAAAAAATTCCGAAAAAAGTTAATACTTTTCGAGATAATGAGTGTACTCATTTAAATGGATCACTCGGTATGAAAAGTCATGTTATGATTAAATTGTATACACAAAATTGCCACTAAAATGTGTAACTGTATTGCGTATTGTCATGTAAGGGGGATTGTGGGGACATAGTCCATATAGGTCTTTGATGTGTTCATTATTTCGACGCTCCCAAAGTTGGTGTTTTAGTTGCGGCTATGGACTGAGTTCAGTACTTGAGGTAATGGTTTTGGCTGTTTCAAATGTATTCCGCCGATGTCCACGAAATTCGGCAATAAAGGTTTCGCCAGATCCACAGTGTGGTGCCCGTTGACGAACACCAGTGACGTATTTCCCATTAACGTATCGGCGTTCGGTGCGTCGGCTCCGAAGTATTTTCGACCAATTGCCGTCGCTTCTCGATCGGTCCATCTGTACACCACGTGCGAGTACAAGTAATCGTAAGTGTTCGCCATTCTCTGTATGAAGTTGGCGGGCACGGCAAACGGTGCATGCAACGTAGACACGTACGCCGGGTTCATGTGGCTGCCGAACGTATGATGATACCACGTGTGTACGTGGCTGGAGGCGATAACGATGTGTGGAATTTTTAAATAATAGGAGACATATGCGTCACACGACGAGGCTAGAAGTTCTGTAATGAACAAGTCATATCTAGAGGAAATTAAAATAAACGTTTATAGTTTGATATTGAAAAACATAGTACATATACGATTGTAATACAATTATTGGCGGTAAGTGTTTATCGTGGACACACAGGACCTAATAGTCGGCAATCATGATTTCCAAGCTGTAATCGACTTAAACTAATACCTATAAACAATACTAATAATATGCATAATGAGATAAAGCTAAGAACTTCAACCCTTTATAAAGGTAATTTTGCACTGGAAAGATTATTCAAATCAAAGTTACTATCTATATTCTATAAAATCGAAATGAACCTTATACTCAAGCTATTTACGGCCAGCTCTATCTTATGATTGCGAAACGTGGTTGGTTACGAAGGGCGATGAAGACAAATTGTATAAAATAGATATAAAATTGTAGAGCAGCTTGTTTTTTAAATGTTCTAGGAAACAAATTCCGGAAAAAGTTAATACTTTCCGAGATAATGAGTGTACTCACTTAAATGCATCACTTCTTATATTTCAAAATGTTTTGTTTTCCTACGAATACTTAACAGATTATCGTTTATGTCCGACTAAGATTCCGACAATATTAACGTGACCGCCTTATTTTTCTTCTGCTCTTCATATTTGTATATTAAAAAATATACACGATTATATTTATACTATTACTTGTTCGATTCTAATGCGCTCCAAAATTCGCCGTGTTCGTACACCTTCTTGCACATATCCCTATGTCGGCCGGAGAGATACGGGAGATTGTTGCCCACCGAACACTCGTCCATAATAAAGTTCCAAGGGATACCGACGCCTATGGGCATCAGTTGAGACGTGTCCACGTCCGTGTAATTGGCAATCGGTTCTTTTTTGGGAAACGGCGTAATCGCGGTTACGTTGTGTCCACCTTCCACAAGCGTCTGCAGTACCGCGTCCATCACGTTCCAGTGACTCTTGGCCGCTATCGGCATTAGCGCTAGGATTTGAGCGGCGTCGCTGTAATTCGGTCGTCCCGACGTCACCACTAACAATAAACACCAAAGAGCTCGGTTCATCTCGGATTGAATCTACAATAGGATTGAAACGTAAGTCCGTAACGCGTCCGTAAGTCGCATTTCAATTAATTACAATAACATGTTTAAAATATAACATTATCACAAAGAGATAACTGATGATTTTTTTTATAAATAATTATTATCACATATATATTTACATTGAACATGAGTAATATACCTACTATTGTTATAATGTTGAAATCATACTCATTCCTATCATACATAATATATTTTATAAATAATAATATAATATGTGGGTCGCAAAATAGAAAACAGTAAAAAGTAATACGAAAAATAAACTGTTTTTTAAAATTATGAAAGGGAAATATTTTATAAATATCTTCATTTTTCAGAACATATTATAGTTTTTTTAATTAAATTTTTTTTTACGTTTAATCGGAGCTTCCTAGGACAATTTCTAAGTCCCCTTGGTAAGGAGGTAAAGTTTCTTATTTAAAATACGAGTGTAGGTGTATTATTCGTTTATTTTGAGTTTTATTTATATATAAAACATATAGACAACCAGAAGAGTTACATAACCAAAAAAATAAAGGGTATGATAGATGGGAAGAAAACAGCAGGACATCCTCGAAACTTTTGTACAGGACAAATTATATGTGATGCAAGAGTCAAAATCTTAAGAAAATTAACGAAAGGCTATTAATCGGTCAGAATGGAGAAGAAAAAAAAAAGGCATATATGAGTTGACGAAAAAAATGTTCTTGTATGAAAATAATTATGGATAAGGTACACTTTAAGTAGGGAGAAAAAATTAAAGTATATCGGCCATTTTATGTCGCTTTGTTACTGAAAATTAATAATTTTTCTTAGTTTCCTAAAATATTGTCAAAATAATTAAAAAATCGATGATTTTTTAGCGTGTTGTATCTTTGAAAATCGTATAAACATCGAATATTGATCACTCTGTATTTACTAATAAAATCAATCGAAAAGTTTCATTATTGAAATTATATATACAGATAAATGGGTGCGGCCCATGTATTTAAATATATTTTTTGAATGAAATACAGCGTGACCCATATTTGATGTAAATACGATTCTCAAAGATGTGGCATTCAAAAAAAATCGATTTTCTGGATATATCAACGGCATTTTAGGAAACTGAGAAGAAATAATAATTATCAGTAAGAAAGTGACATGGAATAACCGATATTTATTATTTTTTTCTTCCCAATCAAAACGTACATTAATATAATAAATAATAATAAATAATAATAATAATAAATCCTTGACCTCGATCATTTCCATACAAGAAAAAATATTCTCGTCAACTCTATATGCCTTATGCAAACAAAATTCAGAATAAACTAAAAAACACATGGTTTTTAAACGGAACATTTTATCTCGTTACAGGGGGATTTAAAAATTGTCCGAAGAAGATTAATTAGGGTTCAAAATTTATATTTATTTCTTTAGAATAAAGTTAGGTGCATCGTTACACAAATGTTACCATCACACAAATAAGAACCACTCTAATCCTGTATATTCCGAACTTTATGAACATTATTTTAGATTCTATGTGTAGCGAAGAATGTATTGGTTTTACAAAGATGTTTATTTTTTATTTGTTTTTTATGTTGTGTACAAAATTTTTATCAGAAATCTTACTCCGATGTATACGATGTAGATGTTTTTCCGAAAGGAAATTTTCTTAAGTTTTTTATTTTCTCGGCAGTTTTCTCAATAAAAGAGAAAAAGTAGTAAAATACGTAAGAAAAATGAGAAATTTACGAAAATAATGCTTTTATTAATATTATTTCAATTTTGTTATTTGTTGAAATGAGGTTAAAAATATTCGTATAAACTCTATGAATTTAAAACTTGGATAGAAAAGTTATATTTACTTTTTTTAGACGTGGTAAAATTTTCAAACAATTTAAACCATCTTTTTATAGCTATTTATAAACATTTTAATTTTGAGAGTTTTGTACGTAATTTTTATTCGGTAGGTACTCTGTGGTAAAATTGTTAGACTTAACAGAAATGCTTGAAAATTTAACTGGAGGTTCATTAAAAGTCTTACTTTGTGGAAATATTTTACAAATATTATTTAAGAAAAAAAATAATACCTATTTAATTATTTTACCATAATATGATATACATTTTGTCGAAAAAGCATCACTATCCTCTGACCTCCGCTCAAAATCGTTTTTAGTAAGCAATGATATATCGTTGCTTACTGATATAAATTAATTTCCTCTCTATATTCTATATTTTCAACTCCTCACCAATAACAGTGGCTGCACCCATCGTGTAAAGTTTGTTAGTCTTTGTTAGTTTTTTTTCAACCATTATCCTGTAATTTTTATTTGTACCAGCAGAACATTTGCCATTATACATGATCATGTGAAGTAAATATTTTCCAAATACGATACGGTTGACTTTGGCGGATAATTCAAGCTTAATGATTCGATTAAACAATTTCTGGTTCACTAAACTACTGCAGATAAATTTAGGTCAGTGTATTAACAATAGCTAGGTATAAAAAAATAAATAATAATAATAAAGTGTGTTAGGTAGGTGTTTTATGTTGGGACATTTGTAATGAAGTTTATATTTAAAGCTGGGAGATTAGTTCCCCCTCACGATAGATTGAAGGTTAACGAATGTATTTATAATGAGTATTTTAGTAAAATCACATCTGTACAATGAACATTGAAAACTATACAACGTATTAGCCATTGTTGTAAATCAAGTCAGTCAAATTTGATTTGCCCTTGAGATTAAGTTTATTAAGTTGCGTTTAAAATAGAATAATTATTCCAAATAAAGTGTGGCTAATAAAACAAATATATAGAAAAAAAATAAAAATAATTTTCACATGTTTCTATAGTAGTATATAGCCACGCTAAAAAATAAATTACACATGTCAGAAATATATTTTCCATACATCGAACATATTGTACGTACATCTTTTAAAAACCGATGCTTCAAGTAGGTAGGTATTGTAACGTATTATATAATTTAATTTAAAATAGGCAATTTTTACTCGGTTCAACATAAATCAGAATAATTTTTAATAATTTTTGTAATTTATGTCGATTATTTACAGTGGATTCAACTTAATGCGGACAGCCGCCTAACATGGGCACAATGTTCCTGTCCGGATTCTAATGTATAAAGATACTCATTTCGGTTAAAATAGGCAACCCCTTTAAGTGGACAAATGTTATTGGTCCCAACTGCCCGCATTAAGCAAAATACATTGTATATACTTTCAAATGACTATAAATAATATAATCTTTAGTTATCATTATGTTTTATTCCTTTTGGTTTTATGTTATCCGAAACAGTTCAACTGTCCGTTCATTCTTTTCTTGGTCACCCTTTTCTATTTGCAATCTTTCCCTTCCATCATAAAGTTAAGTGTCTTCTACTTATCTCCTCGCATATTATATTTATAGTAACCGAAAGAGTATTTTCCAATGAAAAAAATACATAGCTTAGCAAAACCAATAACTTCTACATTTTGCTTAAAATTTAAAAAATAAATTCAACCCGTTCAGTTAAAAGTCAAAACGCTAAAACTATAATTGTTTTTTAAGCTAATATTAACAATTAGTCAAATATTTGGGAATCATAAAATTAAACTAGTCAGACTATCACTGCAATAGGCAATATAGCGGTATAATACCAGATACCGCAATAGGCAATAATCGAATTTTGAAAATCGTTATCGTCTTCAAACCGTTAAGTGAAATAACTGGATGTTTTAATGTTTATGAAAATATACTGTGAATAATTTGAGTTTACACAACGAATACTTAATAACAGTTAAAACAAATAAAACAAATTAAACCTTTTAACAAATGTACGAGAATATACTTATATTCATTTGGAATGTTTAATGATTTTATTTTTTCAAATTGATATTAATGTTGCATTTTATTTTCGAGTATTAAGTTATTACCTAATTATTAAACAATATTTTGTTTTTAATTTGTGAACACCTGTGTGCACATTGAATATAATAATAATAATTCGTAATATTAGCAGTAAGTATCGCGGTGCATAACGAAAATGAAGAGACCACGACCAAAAAAAAAGTATATACACTAAATAAAAATAAAATTAATAATTTATTACGGGTACATACCTATTATATATACTGACTGCAACTAATATGATGTAGGTACCTATATAGGTTATTATTTCGAAAAATCGACGATTATCGGCCGTTTAAAATTTACACATTGTCACAATTTAGTAATGTGCTATAGATCAACACAAATTTTATAAAACTTTTATTATATAGGTATACTGGATGAAATACTGCTCCGCGGTTAAACCGTGCAAGGTGCGACTGATCTGCTGACAAGTAAATAAGAAAAGTATCGGTACAATGCCCACCGACCGAAAATCCGACCGACCAATCAGATCCGTATAATATTTACGTGTATGATTTTAACGCATAATCGATCTGTATACCAAGGGCAATGACTCGCGAACAATTACTATAATTAATGGTTACGTACAATATAGAAAGTCCTGCAAAGATATACCCATTGTGATATCCAGGAAATTGTTAACATGTTTCGCAATTTTTATAATTTTTTTGTTAATTTGAGAAATACGTACAGAGCCGGACTATGAGTTATGGGGGAGAGCTGGGCTAAAGACCAATAAACAAAAAAAAAAAAGAGCATTAATAAAAACACACATCATGTGACCCCCTTCAACTTGTGGCCCGGAGCTATAGCCCCCTAAGCTCCCCCCTTAATTTAGCTCCAAATATACAGATCCAAAATGCTACATTACCGTTATTTCATGTCGCCTTTATTTTCGCACGCGAAACGATTATACCAAATTTTCGATAATCGAACAGCAACCTATACGTATTCGAAAATCCATAAATAGAAGACGTATTAATATTATTATTATTTTTTAAATTTTATTTAGAAAATTACACAATCTATACAAATAACGGTACAGTAAAAAAAAATGAATACATTTTTTTTTATAATAAGGTAGTGTAGTGGTTCTTAATCTTTTAAGGACCACGGCTCAAATTTTCCTCCGAAAATCTATCTTGATTCACAAGTTTTCACTTTTCAAAAAGTAGCTATAAAAAAAAAATCTGATTATTACTTTTACTATTTATTACTTTACTTTATATGTTTATAATTAGTTTAATTTTACAAATGTACTTTTAATTATGAGGTGTATGCGAAGTGTGTTCTTGAAAAGTGGTTCACATCAAAAAAAAAAAAGGAATCAAAATTATTGTAAAATCAATATATTCTTAGCTCCACTCAGAATCTAAGAACATACATTTATATGGTTCAAAACAATTTTTTCGACTCATCAAAAATTGATTCGGGACTTAACAGTGGGTTGCGATCCATAGTTTGAGAAGTGCTGGTGTAGTGGTTTGAATGGCGAAAGGGAAGAACTAACCAGTGAAGGCATTTCGATGTATTATTTTAAATACATTTCGATGAAAACATTTTTGATTCTTGTTGACAAGATTTTCCACTTTAAAGTTTAGGAACGCGATGAGTGGTGGAGCATTAATTGTTTGGCTGCGCGGGGCTCGACGTTTGATTTTTGTTCCATTTATTTTCCCCGGTCCAAATTTAAAAATGGGACATCTCATTAGTTGGTTGATGAAAATCAGCAATAATTCATATAAAAAAGTGTATTTAAACTGATACTCTATCTATTTATGGATGTTGCAACACAGGTGGCCGTTTGACAAAATTTTCTTTTAAAAAAATTGCTAAACTTGAAATTTAAAATTAGTAAATATAGATACAGTAAGATTTACGGTAAAGAATATATTTACGAATATAAAATATAAATAAATCTAAAACAAGCACACATCCTACAGTAAAGCCAATACATTCCTTGCTGTGCTCAGAATATAAAAAGAGAAAAACTAGATCGTGTGTGGTCAGTGGTCGTGTACGACCGTTGCACGACAGCCAGCTGCCGAGTGGCATCCATCTTCAATCTTCCGAATTCCTGGTAGTGTTTTTTTGATTTCTGGATTACACTTCAGGTTTTCTATTAGAAAAATCGCTCCGACAAAAAAATTAGAAAAACTTTTTTGCAAAATTTTGAATTTAGTTAATTATAGATCCTGAGTGGAGCGAGGAATGTATTGGTTTTACAACAATGTTTATTTATTTTATTTTTTTTTTCATCTGTGAATAACATTTCTGCCAGAAATCTTGCTCCGATTTACAATGATACCACTTTTTTGAAAAGAAATCTGACTTAGAAGATACTTTGGGGAGATCATTTTTTGATTTTCCCAGGAGTTTCCTCAATAAATGGCCAAAACCGGAAAAAAACCAGAGAAAAAATGGGAAAATACTATAATATCTACAATATTAAACAAATATTATTAAAGAAAATGTTTAATGCATATGTAATTATTTTACAATAATATGACAAAGCAACACTATCAAACCGAACTCCGCTCAGAATCTTTTTTTTTCGTTAGTAATGGGTTAATCTTTGTGTACGTTAAATTTCCTCTCTACTACCTTCAGGCCAACTTCTCACCTACATCTACTTTTGCCCACCCACGTGCGAAATATGTCTGTCTTTTGAAATTTAAAACGGGAACATTCCGTACCAGGAGATCAGTATTCAATAGTCGTCTAATGGCGATCAGACAATCACTAGGTCAAATGTGGCTACTGGATCGCGTGTGGCCATTGCGTGCCAGACAGCAGTCGTGCGAAATCCATGCGCGTCTACACCTCGTACTGTTCTTTATTTTTTGGAAAGTGATAACATAATAAACACCTAAATTAGATTAGTTTTACTTTATTTTTGTATTTTATCGTGGCACATGTATTCGCATTATATATATATTTTATTGAAAACAATTTTTACACGTAGTATAAAATCATAATTATTATTCATAATCGACCGCGAATTTAAAATATTATTTCAATCAACAACATTTTATTTATTTCATATATTTTCTATACACTTTCGACATACAATTTTATTCTCATTTAAACTTAATTAAATTACAAATTTTAGTTTTTAACGATTTTATTATTAAATAAATGACGCTTAACCCGACGGACAATATCAATATGACGGTTATTAGAACGTCGATCAGCAAATACTGATACTAAGACAAATTGAGGGCGGCCGATTTTAAATGATGTGCGCCTCTGTGTTTGATCACATATTCTGTCCAATATATTAATTCTTCTTTTGGTGTTTTCGGACGGCCTTTAAACTGTTTAGAAAGTTTCATTATATTCGACTTGTACCTAAATTTATGTGAACACATTAAGAGCACATTATGTCATTTTGTTAACATATAAATAAAGAAACTCACTTTGCGTAATTGGTAACCATTTCTTTGATAGCGTTCACCAATATGTCTTTAGTCAGCGTTTTGTGATCCAACGTCACTGCCGCGCCCCAGTGTACCATGTTGACGATGTTGTGCGGTTGATCGAAAAACACGGGAATACCGAGTACGGGGATATCGTTGTCGATGGCTTCGTATATTCCAGACATGCCCACTATAAACTATAGTGTTCAGCAGGCAGTATCATGACGTGTCACTGCGAACAGACTATTATCCGTTAATATAATTACAGCGGCAGAAAACAGTGGCCGACTAGAATTTAAGAGTTTGTATATTAAAAGGGACTCGGGCCCGAATTTTTTAAATTTATTCAAATTCGAAAACTGTTTTAAATATTTTAATGGTCGCCTTTATGATACGACTTTACCATTTAGCTACTGTCCGACACCCAGGGAGAAGAGTCGCATTTAAGGACAAATATGATTTCACGGGACTATAGGGATAACTCGTTGGCAATGTGTTAGTTTTAAACCATTTCTGTTTTTAATTTACAAACAACAAACATTGTACGGCCCGTATTGAATTCTGATTTTTAATTTGACTTCTAATAACGATATGAAAATTTTGGTGAAAAAAAACTCTAAAAGTGCTATTTTTTAGTACAGACACAATAAAATGTTTTTAAATTACCGGGTGTTCCATTTAAGTGGGTACACTCATTATCTCGAAAATTGTTAACTTTTTTCGGAATTTGTTTTCTAGAACATTTAAGGAACAAGCAGCTCTAAAATTTTATATTTATGTAATTTATGTTATATATTTATATTTATGTTTAATATTGTATCTATTTTCCCGTTATCTCGGTTTTTCCATGTTTTTTCCCGGTTTTTCCGGGAAAAAACTTTTAAAAAAATTGAAAATAAATGTTTTTAAAGTATCTCCTCAGTGAAAATTTCTTTCAGAAAAAGTGCTATTATTGTAAATCGGAGCAAAACTGCTGGTAGAAAAGTAGTTCACAGAAAAGAAATAAACATCATTGTAAAACCATAAGCTACTTTGCTCCACTCAGAATCAAAAGGAATGAGCATTCAATGAAATTCGTGGGTTTTTGAAATACCCAAAATTAATATTCTATAGGCACTTAAATTTGATATCGTTTACAAACAACAGAAAGCGCTTAGGCCAAGCCGATCGCCGACGGGATTAAATGCGAAATGTCCACTTCCGTGTAATTGGCAATCGGCTTTTTCTTGGGGAACGAAGTCACCGCGGTAACGTTGTGCCCATGGGCTACCAGCGTCTGCAGAACCACGTCCACCACGTTCCAGTGACTTTTGCCCGCAATCGGCATGAGCACCAGAATTTGAGCTCAAGCCATTCATCTCGGATAGAACCTTATAATTTCAATAAGGCCCAGAGCTTTGATGGTCTAAAAATTCACATTTAATAAAAATTGTATTTAAACGTAAGAATGGCTAAAAAGTAAAAAAAAAAATTATTAAAAATGTTAACATCTTCACGCAAATATTATTCGTGATAGTGATTTCTTACGATAGATATTATAATCTATTATGTTACGATTTAGGTTTTTTTGTGGATTTTACTACACCTTAATTTAATATTTATAGCTTAGGTACGATGACTTAGATTTAGGGGGTGAAAACATTTTGAATACGATAAATATTTGAAGCCAGAGTACTTAAATTTTAAAATGTAAATACTTTCATGCGGGTTAAGTACCAAATTTTCCAAAATATATAATGAAAATTCAAATATATTTCTGTAAAATTACCAAATAATTTCAAAAATGACCGTATTGCACACAAATCGTTATAAATGCTTAACAAAAATAAAAATCTTACAGTTAGATTATTTTATATTGCAAGAAAAAAATATCTTTATGCAGAGAAATCAAACCTCGATAAAACGGAACAATTAACATTTTTTAGATTTTTTTTCTCCGATGATTGTGAACAAACAAGCAGCTCTAAAACGTTAAACTAACTCTTTTTTTGTGTCACCCTTATTTTTGGCGACGAAACCATTACCAACTTTTTATTTTAAAATCAAGTCAATACATTCAATAACGTGTTTCTTGAGGATGATTAATCACCCTGTACAGAGGAACGACGTATTAGAACAAAGGTAACCAGTAACTACTCATCTATTGCATGCTATTATATCGCTTTTAATCTAGTAATTAATTTTCTCATTTATGGAATCTTTTAAATGAAGATGTTTAAAAATGAAAAATGATTAATTTATATAAAAATAATTTTGTAATTTGTTCATATATTTGAACGTTGGTTTAAAAAAAAAAAAAAGTTATACATAAATAATTACTATATTATTCTGTTTTGTTATGATACGTATTTAATGGTTTTATATTAATGCTTCTTAAGGGGACTGTAAAAGGGGATGTGAGAATTACCCGCGGTAATTCGAGAGATTTTAAAATGCTAGGGCCGCTACTTTTTTAAAAGTGCTTCTACTATTATTTTTCCAAATCAAGCACTGGTTTTATTCAATTTACTGATGATAACAATACAAAAACAATACGATTTATATTATAAAATGTTTGATACAATTTGGGTTAGGCGAGGACGGAAAGTAACATTATATAATTTATAGATATATATTTTTATGTAAAAGCATTTTGCAGTTGGTACGTTGTTTTTAAGTAAATATTTGATAAAACGCATCGAAAACAAAGAAAAAATAATAATAATACACAAACAAACAACTATCGACATTTTATGTGTTACAATGTAAATATATATTTAATTTAATAGATATAAGATTTCATTGTTCTTGTTATTGTGCCAAGACTCATAGACTGTACATATTCTTAAAAAAAAAAAAAAAAAAAACTACCATTACTACAATAATAATTCATACTTTGAATTTTAGTTAGCACTATCCAATAATGTAGGTAGATATTGTTAATCGTTGTTTATTTAGTCACGAAAAAAGAGAAGGAAGATCAAAAATAATTAAAATCAATTAAATCTGTGACTGTTGATTCGATTGGTTCGATTAAAAACGATGAACTTTACTGTATAATATTGTGTAAATTGTAGATAATGCTACATAGTGATAATATCATAAAATTTAATTGTTTGTTAGTATTGACCGCGCTTGAATATTACTATAGATCCTAAATCTATCGAATTCTATTGTAGTCTTGGAGATACATTAGTACGTTAGGTATCCATTATCTCTGGACATTACTGCAGCACGTGTTCAGTCTGGTTATCAAAAAATAACAATCCTCTCAAATATTATCGGGGTAAGTATAAACGTTTTATACATATCTAATTTTTAGATTTTTTAATTTTTAATTTCCTTTCCATATTAATATTACTAATATGCGACTGTTAGTAAAACTGATCGCCCGTGGGTGAAATTTCAAGAGGAGGGGCAACAAAAAAATTCCCAAACTATACGATGAATAAAAGTTTACATTTAAATGTATTAAAATTATTAAGTGTTAAGTTTATATTCTTTTTCCAGATGGGAGGAAAGGCAAAAGCTTCGTCTTGCTCCTCCTCCCATAGGTTTATATGTAACTAATATTAGTATTATGGTAAAATTTTATTGACATCATATTATCACTACTTATATATAATAATATTTTGCTATTTAGAAAAAATCATGGCTTATCCATTTACTATACCTACAGTAAGATATTTGTACTAGCAATGCTGAATATTAGCTATGAATAGTATTATTGTTTTATTACTAGTTGAACTTATGTCACGTTGGTATTTTATGTTTTTGGAAAATTATCGTTCTCATATTATATTTAATGAACGTCGGAAATATAGGTTTTTTTTTTTATTAAATAAGAAAATTGACAATCTATAAAAAATTTCTATAATAAATAGGTTTGACGAGTGAAAATAAAATAACAATAAATCGTATGATCAGATAGGTTACCCAGCAAAAGAATATCGAATTATACAATGTTACAAAAAAAAAAATTTTAAAAATTATATGTAAATTAAATGTATAGATTAACTGAGCTTATACAATTTTTACTAGTTAGCGAAACGAATAATATAGTATAGGTAATAGTTTGGCAACAATTAAACAAAAATACTATTAGGTATAGAGGTGTTCGCAGAAACAACAGGAACCACGGGAACAATATAGGTAAAAACTAAACAGATAGAACATATTGATGCTATAATGTTATATTATAGGTATGTATAAGGTACTCACAGTGTGTCAAAATTGCACAGATGCAACTAGGTTAGGGCCACTTGGGCAAATCATGAACAAAACAAGTTGACAAAGCGAAAAATAATATACGAGGTATAGTAGGTACTGTGTTATACGAATAGTTTCTTTTGTACAAGTACAAAAAATATGATGTTATTGTATTCAGAATAATAATCCAATATCTGTGGCGTATATCATAAATACATTTTAATAAGTATGTAAATATTATTATTTAATAAATAGGTATTAATAAAATCAACGAACTGTTAATATATCATTGTATTGCAGCGTATAAAATACCTACTTGTATACGACGATAAACACGGTACAATCGGTGTTATGACTGAAAAAAAAAAAAAAAACACTAAACAATAACCGAGACCAGCGAAATATCAGTTATAAAACGATTATATCAAAATAAATTGTAAATTGATATTGGTAAAATTAATGAGAACGTATAGATTTTCAAACGAAATGTACGATTATACGAGTATTATAGCTATACGATATAATAATATAGATATACTTAATTAAAACGATAAAAAAAACAATAACAATAATAATAACGATAAGGGCGTGGTGCATTTGAGTTTATGTTATGGTTATGTAACAAATCCGCCGATTGGCATCATACAACACGTTTGACAATATTTTTATAGTATACATTCTTTTACTTATAACACGATATACACTCTACGGGTCGTCAAACCGTTTTTAAATCCAATTTTTCCCCGCAATTGTTATAATCTTTATGAACGCCGATTTTGTGGTTTTTTTTTTTTAACATCCCGATCGGTCACCAAATCGAGGGGGGCTCTCCGCCCCTCGATATTTATCATACAAACAATACGATCAAAAATCACATAGCTTACAGCTTATTATTGCTCATATATCTCTATAAACTTCCTCTTTTTGATAGGGTAATAAAAAATGTAATAAATATTAAATTTATTTGGAACGTGTTTATAACTCGTACGATATTGTATTGTACTGTTTAGTATATTATAAACTAAATTATTGCTCTGTACATCCTATCTTCTCACGCATACAATTAGTAGCTTACCTGTGAGCAGTATCGACTTATTTTTAGTTTTTCGGTTTATTAACAGTCCATTATTTAGTTTATGCCGTTGTTTCTTTTTACTGTGTATACAGTTCAAATTCAATTTTAGTACATTTAAATCACAGATTAATAAATATTATATAATGGCATAGTATTTTTCTTGCAGAAAGCACGTATTGTTGTCGTTACACTGTTGTATGACATTATCGTGTTATATTATGTGTGAACGACCTAATTGTAATCGTACTATGTTGTGGCGTCTTATATTGATAATAAGGTATGTGTGCATGCATCTGAAAAATCATTTTTAATATTTAGTACAAAAAAAAGTTTTTTCGCTAAATTTTCGACGAAAGTAGGACCTTTGGACTATCGAATTTGTACTATGACTGATATAATAAATATATATGTTTGTATCTTTTCCTCACTTTTGGTTACTTCTACGGGAAAATAATCCATTTAATTTTCAAGAAAAAAAACAATTTTCCTGTATCGTAACAAGACGCGGCTATAGTAAGTTGTTGTTAATATTAGAGTTCCGTTGTACATACATAAAGAATAGTTAGTCTCCTTTTTTTTTTTTTTTTTGGCTTGAATATCTAATCTCCAAAACTACAACTGACTCAATTTGCATGCCGTTTTTGTCGAATTTTCCCGGGTATATTTGGACATCTTTGCCGATAGTGTATTTTTTTTAAACTTTCGACGTTAACTTTTCAAAGAACGTAAACAATATCATGTCTTATATTTTTAGATTTTAAACATTTATTAAAAATTTAAATTACAGAACCATTTTGCAAGTACTCTTCGATATCATAACACGTATGGTAACAGACTCTATTAATATATTATACGATATGTCTGAAGTCGTAACGTCGGCCAATTCACCAACAACTTTTCCGCCGCCCACTTACTGTACTTCACAGTTCTCAAATGCTATCGGTTCTAGTGCAGACAGACAGTTATCAGGTCCTAGTGATGTTATAATACAACCGGAGCAAGTAAAACCGTCATCTATAGAAACAGATGTTTCTATTCCGTCAAGTTAGTAACAAATATAAAACTAAATATTTTGTATTTCCAATATCAATATTATAAAATTAATTTTTATATTTTTTTTTTAGACCAAATTTGAACTAGTTAGAATACTTAATTATTTTTCTATTTGTATTGTAAAAAAAGAGCGGAAATCGGGATTTTTTATATGTTTAATACAATTACTAGGGTTTTAAATTTTGAAAACCGGAGTCTTTCTCTTTTAAATATAAAAAAGATCATCCAAATCTAACTATTCTACGAGCCATAAGAGTTCTCCCGGGAGACGTATTGTTTTTTACAAAATATACGGTGGCTTCGACAGCCTTAAGGTCGGATTAGAAATCCTGTTTCATAACCCGGTTTTTATTGAAAATAGACTATTTAATTTTTTGCACACAAATTCATCCGAATTCATAGGTAAAGACCGTGTAGCTGTGTAAAATCAAGAAACGGCGAATGCGAGTTAATGTGACGAGTCAGTCAAACTGTATGGTGTACAAACACAATTTGATAAAAGGAAAAATCACCGGGAAATACGAATTTGATTTTACTCAAATTCTCTCACACTATACTCCTGAACTTTTAAACTTAAAATTCTGTTAAATAATTAACTGCGTATGTTTAATTTTCTATATGTATTATTTTGAACAATTTGCATTTTTAGAAAATAAAGTTTAATAATCGTTCATGTAAACGAAATAAAAATGTACATCAAATTTGGTTACAAAGATTTTTGTAAGAAAATTTAACCGGAAAAAAACTCTTATTTACTTTATTTTTAGTCGTCAAAAGGTCGATTCCTGATATGTCACGAACCGTGTATGATAATGAACTAGAAGATGGACCTACAATTCATGCTCAGCGTTTACATAATTTAGATGTTCAGCAAACTCCATTAATTAACGAATTTCAATGTTTAAGAATCAATAGTGTAAAGGTAGTATTCGCTGTATATCATTTCATTTACGTAATGATTATTATTTTTTATTTTTTCTAATTTTCCAGGCAAAATTTATAAATTGAAAAATTAATATTTTTCATCAGGTTAAAATTTAAATCAGTTTAACTACTTTTGGTCATGACCCATATTTAATAATAATAAATAAATAAGAACATTTTAATTTATTCAGATTTCATTGAAATAAAACATTGTTTCTTTAATATATAATATACATAATATTAAACTGATTCTGTCTTGTAAATATTTAATTTATTCAATTAAAATTCGTCATATATAAAAAAAAAAAAAAATTGTTTTTAAAAATAACATATTCGGATACTATTCAAAATAAAAACCAATTCTTCATGGTTACCGCGATTTTAGTATTGATTTTTTAATACAACTATAAAATCCATTAATTTATTATAAAATTAATGGTAATGTTTATAGACGAAAACACAACTATAGGTAGTGGAAACAGTAGAAACACAGTTAATGAATGTATATAAAAAAAAGGGAAAAACAAACATGTTTTAAATGTAACGATCTATATTGCTCTCAATAATTTTTTTCAATATATCCTTTTATCAGTTTAATGCTACATTTTTAAAATCAAAAAACCATTTTTGGTTAGTAATATGTTTAATCTTACAATGGGACAGTTAGTTTTGTAATTTATAAACATAATGTAATTATTTTAAAATTTTGCAGGAAATTTTTTGTTGTATGTTAAGAAATTTATTCAAAGAATATAATGTTTTTCCTGCATACTCAGAAAGAGAACTTATTTTGACGGCACATCTGTTTATTTGCGTTAAAGAATGTGGTCTTATTTCGTAAGTTCTCTTTGATGGTTATTTATTTAGGTTTAAATAATCATATAGGTATATAATATGTATGTTTGTTCTTTGTATAAATCTAAGTTATTCATTTCGAAATTATCTTTAAAACAAGAGGTCTGCCTTTTAATCACAAATCCAACTTCAGATGTGAAATCCACACATAATTTTTGATCTTAAAATAAAAACATTTAAGTTTATTTTTGGGTTACCTTATTTACACGAATTCTACGGTTAATTATACTGGCATGGACCAAGCTGGGTAGGACAGCTGGCTGTAAAATACATTAATTTTAGTATAGGTACATAATAATATAAAATTGTATAATATTTATGTTTAGAAATGATAAAGATTTGCGTTACGCAATTTGTTGTGTTTTGGATGCATTAAAAAAGAATCCAAATTTGAAGATTTATGATTTTGGTATAGCTACACTTGACCAATTTAGAAATCACCAATTTCGCACTCATATATGTAAAATTCCTCATTTTCAGCAATTCCAACCACATCTTATTGAGGTATGAATTGAACAAGAATACTTACTAATTAATAACTTATTTTTTCATTTATATGTTTATACAATTTATTAGAATTATTATGTATAATATAAAAAGTGTGGTAAATAATCTTTTTTATAAGTTATAGATTTTAAATATTTAGTAATAAATCAATAGTTAATGGTATGTTAATATTATTAATGCAGTATGTGGAGTATGGTAAAAATTCATAAGAACCACTGTCCTCACGAATCAAAAAATAAGCAATAGCAAAACAATTGAAAAACTAGATTGTAAAACACTATTGGTTTGAAGATAGTTTAGTATTTGGTTGAGAAGAAAATACAGTAGTTATGATTGCAAACTGTATTAATACTCTTAGATTTGTAAAAACTGAGGTTTTGACATAAATGAGATCATTTAAATTTTCAATTACTACTTTTTACTGTTAAATCTGCGACTCGAGAAACGGTGGTTTTGATGCATTTTTATCATTATCTACAAACTGATTTACTGTATTAACTAATAATAAAATGTTAACGAACATTAATTTATTGATATATACTTGAAAGTGAATTATGGGAAAACAAAGAAGATTATTTAATATTTCGTGTTAGCGCAACTAATTATGTTGCGATTCACATTATCATTATTAATGTATTGAATGTATTTTTAGCTTTTAAATGCAAACACAACAAACATTTATTGTACTTTAATGGTAAAAGAAAGCAGGAAAAAGGCAATTGAAAAACATGAGAAGGTCGTTATACCAGCTGAAAATGTCCAAAATAATATAGCAAACAGAACACAAATTGATGATACTTTATTAGTAAAGTACAGCAGAAAAAAGGAAATAGAAAAAGTTAATGAAATTATTCTATTAACTAAAAATGTAAAAGATAAATTATTAAACACAACACACATTGATAATAATTTATTGGTAAAGGTCAACCGAAAAAACAAAAAAAGAGTAATAGAAAAATATGATAAAATTGTTGTACCAGATGGAAATGTTCAAAACAAAATAGCTTTTATTTTTAACAACTTGAGTGAACTCAGTCTTCAAACTAAGGTTAATATTAACTTCCCCAAGTCAACATTTTTTAAAATATTTCAGTAAAATATTATATAGTTGCTATATTATGCTTGTGGTTATTTTTGTTCTATATCCTAAAGTGTAATGAAATTAAAAATATTATTACCGAAGAATTTTTACCATGGTTCTCAAATTACTTGGTTATGAAGCGTGTCACCAATGAATTTAATTTCCACACATTGTATTTCAACTGTTTGGATTGTTTGAAAAATGAAGCCTTAAATTCGTTAATAATATCGGAAACCGTTAAAAATATCAAAGTGAGTAAGAATATTTAACTAAAGGGTGAACATTTGAGTAATTCGTTTAAAATATATATATTTATATATATTATCTTATTAGGTTTTACTGAAACGTGACAAAAGAAAGGTAAACTCTTCTTTTAAACCAATACTAAAAAATTTAGGCCATTGGTTAGGTTTAATTACATTATCTAAGAATAAACCAATATCGTCGAATGATATCAACTTCAAAATGTTATTGGTCGAAGCTTTTAATAAAGGAGATCAAGAGTTATTAATTACAATACCATTTATTGCTAAAGTTATTGAATCGTGTGCTAAAAGCAAAGTATGTTAAATATATGTATACATTTTTTTTTAAAATTCAATTTCTAATAGTAGTATGATTTTGTTATTATTATAGCTATTTAAACCAAGAAATCCTTGGACAATGTCAATAATGAATTGTTTATCTGAACTACATCAAGAACCCGATTTAAAATTAACTTTGAAATTTGAGATTGAAGTATTATGTAAAACTTTAAACATTGAACTTAAGGTGAGAACTAATTTAAATTACTTTGAAATTGCATCGATCTTACATTACGTATTTATTAGGATTTGAAGCCTGAATATGTTCTTAGAGATCCAGAAATAACAAAGAAATTAGTGCCACAATTATTTAATGGTGAAGACCCCAAACCTTAACGCTAATCCATCAAAAATATCTGTTCCTACACTTCAACGTCAAACGCCTATTAATTCTTTGAAAACATAAATATTATTTTTAAGTACATTTTGATTTGTTTCATACTTTTTTCAATTGTTTATTATGTATTTAAAATTATATTATAAAAGCAATATTTTTAAAGGTCCGCTATTTATGAAATATTTTTTTAGTGCTTTTTTTATTAATTAAAATATTTTTCATTTAAAAATGTTAATTTCCAAACTTATATTTCTATCTTACATTTTAGATTCTGAGTGGAGCAAAGAAGCATATAAGTTTTACAATGATGTTATATTTTAATTTTTTCTGTGGACAATTTTTCCGCCAGCAATATTGCTCAGATTTACAATGATAGCAACACTATCAACCGAACTCCGCTCAGAATCGGTTTTTCGTTAGCAATGGTTTATGGTTGCTTACAGATATACAATAAATTTCTCCTTTACTGCCTTTCCAACTTCTCACCTAAAACAGTGGTTGCAACTGTCCCCATTATCTTAGGACAGCTTTTTTCTAATTATTAATACAATACAGATAACAGTATTTTATATTTAAAATTGAAAAGTCTATATTACAACATGGCACATTGCCTAATAATATTATAAATTTAATTAATTATCCTTTCTTTTGATTAACTTAAATCATCATAAAATAAACTGTTTTATATATCAGTTTATATTTTATATAAAAATTATAGAAAAATTTGTGGATAAATATCAAAACAATTGGTTACAATAGTATATACATACATAACTTAAAAGACTTTTTTTTTCTCTTTACTTAATTGATTTTTCATAGTCTTAAATACCGCGAAAACAACATATGCAATAACAAATAGCCCCAAAACAATTGCTATTAGCATATCAATCAACAAATACTGCCACCAAGACAATTTGAGAGCAGCTGATTTTAAATGATGAGCTCCTTTGTGTTTAATTATATATTCTGTCCAATAAATTACTTCTTCTTTAGGTGTTTTTGGCCGGTCTTTAAATCTCATTGAAAGTTCCATCGCTTTTGATTTATACCTATAATAATTTCGGTACTGTTATATATATGTGATACTATTCCATAGATAATTATTAAATCGAAACATCTGTCCAAAAACACAAAAATGAAGCTACTAATTAAGATAGTTGCTGAATATGCATACGGAGCATGTGCAAAAACAAAGCCTGATGGAAAAATGTTAAGACATTTGTTGAAAAAAAATATTAATAATAATTTTCGGATCGAAGTAAAATGAAAATGGGGATTTCCTATGGGAGATAAGAACAAATGAAAGAGCAGAAGAACAACATGTGGAAGTAGGAATAATATGAGTCCTAAAATGAGTACCACTAGAGCCGGACAAGTGTGGAGACCGTGAGAATTAGATTAAACAAATAATCATACGGGGATTAGATATCAAACGACCAATATGATGTCCTAGACAAGGATGGATAAAGGTGAGATTAAATATTGCTGGGTATAGTAGACGACGAAGAGGCAGCTAAGGACAGGCAGACGAAGGCAGCATATTGTAGCGGGGATGGACCTAAATAATCTCTAAAAAAAACATTACATAGAAAAATAATGCATAATATTGTATGCGTGATTGAATGTGTTATTACGCATCTGACGAGGGATTTTGATAAGTAAATAAGCTAAGCGGAATTAAAAAATATATATTTATATTTTTTTAATGTGTGCGGATAGGGTGAACACTGAAAATTAAAGACGTAACTCAATTAAATTGTTCACCGTTGATTCAAACAGTAAGACTCACTTGTCGTAATTGTTAATCATTTCCCTAATAGCGTTGATTAAGGTGTCTTTAGTCAGAGTTTTGTAATCCAACATCACGCCCGCGCCCCAGTGAACTATGTTCGCAATATTGTGCGGTTGGTCGAAAAACAAAGGGATTCCGAGTACAGGAACTCCGCTGTCGACGGCTTCGTAAATCCCGGACATGCCACCATGAGATATAAACAATTTCACATTTTTGTGTTCTGAAAAAAAAATATACAAAAAATGGAACAATAAAATAAAAACTTTCTAAAGATTTCAAATATGCAAATTTTAAAAAAAAAGCGCGCCATCCAAAAATACTAACCTAAAATGTCTCTTTGGGGAAACCAATTATTTATCATTACGTTTTTCGGCACATCCTTGAGGTTTCTATTTTCGTATTTCCACAACACCCTCTGGGGTATTTCGGCCAACGCTTCCACGAACGTTTTTTGCAAATGCACCGGCGCAGTCTCCATTTTGATGGTCGATCCGAACGTAAAGTATATGACTCCGTTCGGAGATTCATCGATAAACTGTTCGATGTCCTTAAACGAAAATCGCCGATAAAAAACGCGCACCTATCCGATAGGGGAACGCGTCGTTTTTTCGAAGGACGTTTTAAACATTTCAACATTTTCGACATTTCAACTTTTCCAAAGATACGTGTCAACAATTATAGGCAGGCTGAAAAAATTCTCAGTCAGCCAATACACATATTTTTACAATAGAGTTTTTACGAAAAAATCGTTTTACACCCACTATGACTTCTAGCTAACGCGGCTTATGACCATAGTTACCTAAGACCGATTAAGAGGACGTTATACCCGCATCCACTGTCTTAGTCCAACTACCCGGTTACATGTAAAAACAATGCTTACGAAGAATAAGTAAAACTACCTTAAAAGCTACATTTATTTAAAAACCAAAAAAAAAAAATTGTTTTTATATCATTGATATCAAGCTGCGTATTTTCAATAATATAAATAACCAATTATATTTCCTCCAAAATATTGTTCTCTATACATTTTATAATGAGTACTTTTTATTCTAAAATCAAAATTAAGCATTCTACGTAAGCATTATTACCCGGTAGTTGGACTGAGACAGTAGTTACGGATATAATTTCTTCTTGGGAAAAAAAATAGAGGAATATATTTTCTCGGCGTATGAAAACTACAGTCAGGCCAAAATACAATTTCGGCGAATTTTTGGTATGCACGAGCAATACCTCGCAACATTGGCGTATATAGAAATTAATTTGAGGGGGGGACATAGATTAAATAAATTCATAAATACGCACGTGTGCCGTACCAACCATGTATTTCGGGGGGGGGAGGGGTGGTTGAACCCCCAAAACCTTCCTTATACACGCCACCGCCTCGAAATACCTCAAAACGACGCCCCCCCCCCCGGGTTTCGTGACTCACTCGGGGCAACGGTTTCGGCCGGGCCAAATGTATCCCGCCGATGTCCACGAAATTTGGCAACAAAGGCTTCGCGAGGTCCACGGTGTGGTGCCCGTTGACGAACACCAGCGACGTGTTCCGCATCAGCGTGTCCGCGTCCGGCGCGTCGGCCCCGAAGTGTTTACGGCCGATGGCCGTGGCTTCGCGATCTACCCATTTGTACACCACGTGCGAGTACAGGTAATCGCAAGCGTTCGCCATTCTCTGGACGAAGTTCGTGGGCACGGCGTACGGCGCGTGGAACGTGGACACGTGCGCCGGGTTCGTGTGGCTGCCGAACGTGTGATGGTACCACGTGTGAGCGTGGCTGGATGTGATGACAATCTGCGGCGCTTTCAAACGATACGAAATGTACGCGTCGCACGACGAGGCCAAAAGTTCCGTAATGAACAGATCGAACCTCACGGGCGAACGTAAAAAAAAAAATGTTACTACGTAATGTGGCAGTACACATTTATTCTATATCAATATTATTAATTATCCATCGACTATTTAGTTATCTTCGATTGACGTACTATTGTTTTGAAAATGGAGTTTTGCTACACGAGTCATACAATGGTATACGAATAAAAATAAAAATTCGAAAAGTTCGAACGGTCGAATAAAACCAGCGAATGAAATTATCTTGTAATACAATAAAATAAACTGTATTTGTATAAAGCATCACTATCAGTTGAACTCTGCTCAGAATCGTTTTGTCATCGTTGCTTACAGATATATTGAAAAACAACAAACGACCATATTTTTATTGAATTTATTTTAATAAGCGTTTACAAAAATCGCAAAGAAAATTACGGCACTTCAAATTATGTACTACCGAATTGCGCTCGGAATCGTATTTCGTCAACAATGGTTTATCGTTGCTTACAGATATAAATGAAATAACCTTATGTATCCTACCTTCCGAACTTCTCNCCTACAACAGTAGCCTCTCCCATCTCCAATATCAGATCTTTTATTAAACTATATTTTTAATTATTACCTATTTTGTTTTGAATAAAAATTTTTATGATAATACTTAAAAAATAATGATAATCGTATAGGTATATCATATTAAAGTGAAACCGATAATATTTCTCACTCCGTTCAGAAACTGAAATATATTCTGACGTAGCCGTTGATAAAATTTATTTAAATTTTCAAAAATAAAAAAAAAACCACCGCCGTTTCTTAGTTACTTTTGCGACTCGATGACGCGCCAAAATTCGTCGTGTTCAAACAGCTTGGTGCACGTGAGCCTGTGGCGGCCGGAAAGGTATGGGAGGTTATTGGCTCTTGAACTGGTGTCCACTATGAAATCCCACGACATACTTACGCCTGACGGCGTCAACTGCGAAATGTCCACTTCCGTATAGTTGGCCGGCCGCGTTTTCTTGAGAAAAGGCGTCACGGCCGTTACGTGGTGACCGCGGGCCACCAGTGTCTGCAGCACCGCGTCCACTACGTTCCAGTGGCTCCTGGCCGCCATCAGCAACAGGGCCAATATCCGGGCGCCATCTACGTGAGGACGCCACAACGTCAGCGCGCACACCGTCCACCAAACGGCGTTCATCGTATAGAAACTCGTTACTAAAACTATTTCAATTAACATCAATTTCAATAATATACGAACGAACGCCGCAATATTCCGAAGGCAGTTATACCGCCGTCGGTGTGCGTATTTTTTGATGTTCGATCAAATCGCAGTTTTCTTTTTTACACACTCATCGTGTATTGAATTAAATGTGTTGTGAGTACAACATAATAAATGTGAATTAAATGTTTATTTCAATTAATGTTTGACGGCTAATTAGCACAAAGTGAAATGGTCAATCGCCTATAGGATTTTATACAATATAAATTGGATTTTAAAGCAATAAATCTTATATCTTATATGAAAAATCAATAAATTTAGGTTGGAGGAGAGTAGTAGTGCGTTATTAACGCGCCGCGCTCCGTACCGCCACAAAAATGATACTCCACAACTCAATGTTGAAGTGCAGAGAAAATTTCGTTTACGGCCAAATACAATATACGTAACTGTCACAACCTCAGTTCGTATCACCGTTCACCGATTTACTTTGTTGATTTTGCTATATAGGTAATCGGTCGAGGTATAGTTGTTGTTAAAATTCAATGACGCTGTTTGAAAACGGGAACTTATTGCCGGCAAATCTATCACCGTTTTGTTTCGGTTTGTTCGAGATTGTTCTGGAATAGGACATAGCGTACCATCCGACCCCTCCTGGGCAGAAAGGAGCCACGTGTACACCGCAGGACTAACGCAATGCTGTGCGTCCGACACTCTGTACATAAACGCGTTATTCACTAATACCCGTTACGCTTGACACAGGGGCCGATTTGTGTTGTATCAGAGAACAGCTCGTAAATCGCAACAATAAAATTACACCGTCCAAAGCACGGCTGTTAGGCCTCGATAACAAACCATTGTAATCTATTGGGGGATGCACAACCTTCGAAATAAAAATTAATAACCACGAGTTCGAAGTAAACGCCCATTAGGAAACGATTTTTTTTTTAAAGGAACATGACGCCGTTGTAAATATTAAAATAATGAAATATAATAAACAATATTTGAAATATAATTTACTTTGTAATTCAACCTTTTATTTTCCCAATTTGAAGATTAGCATTTTTTATCTATGTGCACACAGGTGCTGAGTGTCAATTAATTAAATTAGTTTATCTTAATTAAACTGTAATTGCCGTCCAACGGCTCCAGGATCACGTGAGGTTATCCATAAGTATACACCCAAGCGTTCCGACACCGTGGGCAGGTAAAATAATTATATCTTTCTTTATTTAATGATTTCGTCACCATTCTCGTATTCACGACTCCGAAACCCTTTCAAACATCGGAAGGAAGGTAGTAATATAATTAGTAGGCTGAACTTTTATTATGATCATTCTTTGTAGTACCATAAACTAGATCAATTATTTTATATTATATAGATACATTTTTGTACCTACTCCTCTATATTTTATTCTTTGTAAGTAATTCTACGTAATATCCTATTATTTTAAATATGTTTGTCTTCTATAACTATACTTAGTGTCTTAGTATATTACTATCTCACCCTACCACAACTTTATATTTTTCCCCTCTAACACTTTTATTCCCCCCCTTTTTTTCCCCTATATTTTGTATTACTACAGTATTAAAAACACAATCGATCGGAAAACAATAAAATCGGTTGGCTAAAATAAAGATAAAAAAAAAAAAAAAAAAAAATGGTAAAAACTAAACAACTACATTATTTACGGTTTATTAAATGTCGATTTCTCTTTTCGCCTTCACAATCATCCGATTGGTTCGTTATGGATTTCCATGCCACCTTTTCGTAATCTAATACCTTTGAACCCTTGTAACCGTCCTTATTCCTTATCAGTGTCTATCATTGTTTGTAACATACATATGCGTACGTCTGTCACATCCAATATTATAGCCTTTTCCGTCTCCTTCAATACGACACTTATGTGATGCAGTGTAATACGTGTTGAGACGCCCTTTCATTTTGTCCCATCCGATTCCAAAACTATACTTATGTATTTACTCGTCGTGTATGTTTACAGATTTAAAACTGGGCGTGTTCATAATTATTTAATAAGCGATCGACTAAAATCCGTAATTTAAAATATAAAAATAATTTATTATCCCAAATTCACAACTATTTTTTGAGTACAGAAAAAAAAAATTATTCTTTTACTTACATAATTGTTTGATTATAAATAATTGTAAATTTTCTATCTGCGTTTGTTTCGAATGACCAATATTGTGCGAACGTTTTTCAAGTAGAAAAATACTTAAAAAGAAAAGTATTTTAGTAAAAAAAAATTGTATACGAAAATAAACAGAAGAAAATAATATGCTAGAAGAATAATTTAAGAGCAATACTTCTTCAAATAACTGTAGATAATATACTGGTTACGTTAGGCTAATAATTGTCATGAGAATGATGAGATAAAAGTGTTATTATTTCATCGGTATTTTCTATAGACATATTAGTATACAAACTGCTCATTTGTGATATATATTGAATCCAACATAATATGTGTAAGAGAGACAGACCTAGTGTAATTGACTTTTTCAATAAGGTTATATACAATTGTATAACACTCCTCGGTATTATTTGAAACAAAACTGTCATAATTTGATAACTTATAGCCGACCAATCAATACCAAATATACCAACAACAAAAAGTAAATTATGAGCCTGTATCTTTCGGATATACAGAGGTTACCAAAAGTCACGCAACAAATTTGTAACACAATTTGTAATAGTAAAAATAATCGTTTATTTCTTCAAATAATATAAAAATGAACATTACAAAGTAACATCATCTCACGGCAATTATAATAAATGTTCAAAATGATGTCCTCCAGCTTCAATAACTGCTCCACAACGTTTTTATTTACCGCGTTTGTGGCGTTGTAAAGATACGAATAATCGGTGCTCAAAATTTGGAATTCTCCCTCGATTCGCTTTTTTAAATGGATCAAATTTTGGATTGGCGTCTTTTAAACTCGATCTTTGATAACTTCCCACATGCTGAAATCACAAGGTGTGAGACCGGGTAATCTTGGGGGCCATTCCGTCGTCCCACGGTGACAAATCCACCCGTAGAAGTTTTTATTCAAAAAATCACGAAACTGTTACGAACGATAACGAACATGAAACTGCGTCTATTAGGTTATGTTGTATTTTTTATAAAACTTGCTGTTGTTGTCCGTAAACAAGATAACGAGACCAAAGTTGCAATATGACGTAACGGAAACGACGTGGAGGGAGAAACTGCGCCGTAATGCGCGTTCCATACAAGACGGTAGGCGTTGCGCGACTTTTGGCCACCTCTGTATGATCTTATCAAGGTGTTCAGATGTATTATACTAAATCGCCGACTTCGCATTTTATTGTATACTCAATTAATATGACGTTAGTCGTCCTTTGCAAGCAGATCGATGTTTACAAACTGATGTTATCTACATCTGTGGTTATACGCAAAACGAATATTAAGCGTAGTTTATATTATCCCATAGATAACACATAAAGGATAAGGCATTCCCATAGACATTGTACTAATAAACGAGTCTTCCGTGTGTTTCATACATCTGACTACTATTCTACTATCATTTATCGTACAAATCGTGGTTATGATAGTTGTTGTAAAAATAATAAAATAATATAATAAAAAAATGTTTAAAAATCCGTCCTAGGATAAAAGGGAACGGGTGCAGTCACTGTTATAGGTAATTCAATGTATATCTGTTAGCAACAATTAACCATTGTTAACGAAAAAATGATTCTGAGCGGAGTTCAGTTGATAGTTGCTTTTTCAACAATATATATATATATATGTGTATCATATCATGGTAAAATAATGGCATAGGCAATATATATTTTCTAAAAAAATATTTGTTGATTATTTTACCTATTTTCCCGTTTTTCCTACGGTTTTCCTATGATTTTTCCTGAATTTCCCATTCATTGGGAAAACTAGTGAAAAAATCAAAAAATGACCTCTTTAAAGTACCCCCTACACCGATTTATTTTTATAAAAGGTACTATACTTAAAAATCGGATCAAGATTTCTGAAAAAAAAGTTGCGCACAAATAAAAAAAAAAATCTTTGTAAAACCACACACTTCTTCGCTACATTCAAAATCTAAAAATATTTACTCAACATTTAATTATTCACTTTAATTAACTTGCATATTATTGATTACTTAACTGTATGAATATACCTATGTTCTAATCAACAACAAAGTTTAAGTCTAATTTAAAAATTATAACATAAAATCTCCTTTTCTTAGTTTAAACTCGGGGTCTGGGGGTTCAGAACCCCTGGACGTCCTTCCCCGTAAAATCGCTACTAGATGTGATTAATACTATTATTATTTTACAAATCATTATTATCTATCTATTATTACATTTATATTTCAACCATGATGATTTTATACAAATTTGTGTACAATTGTATTACCTAATTTACATTTTTATAGCATTCGAATAAAACAAATATTTTTTCTTATCAAATATTTTAATTTTGATTAAAAAAAAAAAAAAAAGTAATACCACTAAAACGATCGTAACTAGAAACACGATAGCTCTGGAGTTCTTTGAGCACGCGACACAGGCAGAAGGGAAGAGGAAAATCGAAAAGAAGGCGGTCGAACGGGATTGAGAATATTACGAGGACGGCCGATGTATGATGCCGGAGATCGGGGCACTTGGAGGAAGTTTAGGACGAGGGTGGCCGACCCCAAATAGTTTGGATAAAAGGCAAAGGAGAAGAAGAAGAAACACAGATTTATGTTGCGAGAGTTCGTGCATTAAATTAAATTTACAACTTTGACGATAATAATAAATCATTTTTAATTATCATTTTGTAATATGAATAAATACCTATTAGTTGCACATACGAGTAACTACGCGTACAATGTAATATTTTGTCACCAAAAAGAAAGTGCACTTGGTTTAAAGTTCTGAATTTATCCTGTATATGAAATATAATTTTAAAAAAAATACTTTATGGCTTTCAGAGTTAAGTAAAAATGTTCATGAAATTTGACAAACAAAGGCTGGGCAAGTTCATGGATAATATTAATAATTATGATCGATCATTAAAGTCTGAAATTGTCACGAATAATCATTAATAATAACAAAAATTCGTTATCTGTTTCTGATAGTATTATATAATGCAATATTTTGTTTCTCCATGCAGTGGTTTGCTGAACATTTTATATTCTGAGCGAAGCGTAAAATTGTAATGGTGTTTATTTTTGTACTGTTTTATACTGTATATAAAAATTCTATAGAAATCTTTTTTTCTGAAAGGAAATTTTTCCGGATAAGTACTTTAAGGTGATCATTTTTTGATTTTTCCAGGAGTTTTCATAATAAATGGAAAAAAACGGGAGCATTAACAAAAATTATGCTGTTATTATTTTTGTACGAATGTGTTTGACAAACCCAACACTTTGTACGGCTAAAGTTTCAGAGGAATTTGAGAAAAACCTGGGATACAATAATCGTGTTGTATGTGCGGCGGTTAAAAAATGACAACACCTATGTATTTTGGAACGCATTCGCGTTGCGAATCGTGTTAGGTACACCACTCTTGTGACGGAGCTCTACTGTTCATGTGTGTTTTTTTTTTATAGTTTTTGTTTACGGATACTACGTATGCGTTTTAATCTCGTTTAAGTATATTCTGTGTCAAAAATATATGCGTCAAAAGTAATAATAATATTATGTATACATTTTATTTATTTAGAATTTATTCGAAATTATGAATAATATTCGAGAGTTCGGAGTGATTCACATTGGGACCGTTGGTATCTATGGAATCGTTACCCGAAAACGTATCGAATGCGTTCAAATCCGTGTAAAGTCAATCGCCTCAAACGGTTCTATGAAAATACAAAAACGGTCACATGGTCGACAAGCAAAAAAAAAAATGCAGTACTCCAAACATGGTTACCACAACGTGACATAATATTATTACGTAAGTTCCATGCGCAAATATTGAATTTAAGTTCGATGGGAAATCGTATTCGAATATTATACGTTCGAGATTCTGGGCGTATAGCGAGAACTAATATATTGATTTCATTATACGACGTGCGGCTACTTTATTTATTCTCGCGATCAAGTTTTCAAACCGAATGACTTTGGCCAATCGTTATTATCATCGGCTATGACAGGGAATTCCCGTAAAATCGACGCATTTCGAAATAATTATTTTTTTATTTTTTTTAATATACCTTAAAATGCATAGGAGGATTATTATGTTTTTATGTCTCGACACTTGCTGCATGCTATGTTTTTACTCTTAGAACATATTATAGTATTTGGAATTTCCCCGCAGTAGCACCGAATCCAACGATATATGGGGCGGGGTGACCGCCTCTCTTCATTTTTTAAAGAATTTTCGTTTTTGGAATGAATAGATGAAACTTGGTAGTTATAGTGTAATCAGAGTTGTTATATTGGTTTAAATAAATTAGTGTTGGGTTTTCAAAGTTTATATACAGACTGTCCCACGAAGATATACCTCTCGAATATCTCCGGTGATAATAAAGATAATCAAATTTTGATTTTTTTCATACGACTCAGGATGAGGACTATAAGTATTTATTTTTGAATTAAATTTCGTTATGTTAAATCGCGTTATGTTATTCCTTAGATAACATCGGTTTTCACACGGATTATTAAAATTTAAAACGGCTGTAACTTAGAAACTATCCATCGGATATCAATGTGTGAAACATTCAAATCTTCAGAAAAATAAACTCTATGGAATTGTTATCTAAAAAATTTCCGAAAATAATAAAATAAAAGTTATTTTTTTAGTAAAAAAAAAATTAATTCAAACTAAAATATTTATAGTCTTCATCCCTATAATTAATATAAAAACAAAAAAAAATTGAAATTTGATTACCTTTTTATCTCCAGAGATATTCAAAGGGTACATCTTCGTGGGGCAGCCTGTATTCGGTTTATGTAACCTTCAGGTAATTATACCAACATGAGTTACTAATCTATTGGGAGTGCAAATAGATAGGTATAGCCGTATAGAATATTGTAAAATTGTATGCCAGGTGGGTGTTCAAGCCCTCATATCAGAGACGGCGTTTAGGGGGGGGGGATCGAAGGGGCCATGGCCTCCTAGAAATTTTATTTAATTACACACATAAATAGTTTTTTTCAACTATATATTGGCAATATGGGCATATATATATATATATACATATATTAAAAAATACTGACATACTTTGCACGTAGGTGCAGCCACTGTTGTAGGTGGAAAGTTGGGAAGGTAGGATACAGACGGGAATTTAATGTATATCTGTAAGCGACGATAAACCATTACTTACGAAAAAACGATTTTGAGCAGAGTTCAGTTGATAGTGTTACTTTGTAAACAATATAGTTATATATTATTGTAAAATGATTACATATGCGTTAAGTATTTTCTTGAATAATAAGATTTATTTATTATTGTACATATTTTCTCGTTCTCTCGTTTTTTTTTTCTTTTTGGTTTTCCAATATATTGAGAAAACTCCTGAGAAAATCGCAAAATGGCTTTTTAAAGTATCTCCCCAGTTAGATTTCTTTTCGGAAAAAGTACTATCATTGTAAATCGGCGCAAGATTTCTGGTAACGTAACTGAAACGTATTTCAATAACATAGTTATAACATAACGTGGTTTTTGCTCGCCGTCGGTTGAAATCGAATTTGCGATTTTTTAAAATTTTTTTTCAAAACTTTTACACAATTATATGAATTGTATACGAAACAGTCAGTGGTGCCCAAAATACACTTCGAGTGTTGCAATTGATACACACCATATTTTTGACGGGTGGGTATTCTCGGCGATCCGGATTCGGGATAGTCGAATAGAATGGGTATAAACATTCAAGGTAGCGAGTTGTAGGGGTCGGAAATTGCGTACGGGTAAAAGTTTTTTGAGGCGGGAAGTGGTTTTGAATATCAAATTCTGTTACACCGTAAACATAATATAGTTTGGGCGTCACTGAAAATGGTTCCATCGCGATAATAACGCGTTGTGACGTCAGTAATTATTCCGGATGAGATTGCCGTTTTCGTCCACAACACGTAGATTACTATAGAGAATAATAACAATAATAATTTATAATGCATACGACCTTGGAAATTATAACGCGAGCGGTGATTGCGTCTAAAAGGAAATAAAACCGTGTCTTGGTTGTGTTAATAATCGTATCATTTTTTTGTCGTCTTAGATAAAATGCGTTCTCGTCCGAATATTATCGCGTTGTTGACGGACAATGTTCGGTTTTCCAAACGGGCATCGATAGTGTTTATCGGAATTTTAAAACCTCTACGGAAATATCGATTTCCGATGAATTTGCCGTTGTTCAAGCGACATAAAAATATTTAGTTATCGATAATGAATATGTGTTGTTTTTGTTTTTATCTTTTACACTACTCGTAAAACCTCTACCTAACCTCTAACGCGATCTAGTTGGTTTTCGGAGCTTTACAAAACGCAACCTACTTGTTGGTCCATACCTGATACCGCTCTGATAAAGTTATGTTTTGTAATATTGTAAACCTAAAACTTACTATAGGTACTAAATCGGTAAAAAAACTGAAAAGCCACCACGGGTTTAGATAAAGTAGAGAGGAAACGAAATAATTCAGTCTCCCTGTTCGTCACAACCCGATATTGTTCCGAAGAAGTTAGTGTCCTAAATGTAAACCTCCGAACTAGTGCCCTAGTCAATGAAAAAGTAGTATTATAGTTTTATAGTTCTATAGTTTTATAGTATATAACTTCTAACCATTACTTTTAACTTTGAATTTGATCGTCGCGCGTCGGTCAAAACTCCTGCGCGAGTCGTTTAAGGGGCATTTTTTTTTTCAATATTTAAACTTCACAGGGGAGAATCGCTAGTTGTTGCAGGTTACCCGGAGAAATGTGTAGAAATGTCGAATATTTTTTTCCTTAGCATTGTGACATAATATTCTTATTGAAATGTCCCTTCTTATGGTTATCGCATCGATAGTGCTAAAACCAATTGACGTTTACATAGTATGAAAAATGATGAATTTATATTATAGATTTGAATCGCAGTAATTATTATCTTTGCGTATGTATAAAGAATTGTTTTCATTATTCTTACGCATTTCCAATATTGTAATATTTTTTAATTGGGACATTATTTTATTATTGCAAGTACGTAATAAATTATGTGTGCCCACACATAATTTAACATATTAACGATTTAAATAATACTGTCAAAATTATAGTTTTCGTATTGATTAATAATGTTTCAATTTCTACCTAAAGTTATAAAATTAAAATAGCATATCAACGCGTTACTCAACCATAAATGCATAATCTAATGGTGATTAGTCAGTAATGTATGATGGAAAAGACGTAATTCAAATTTCAATGACCTTATAAAAATATAATTTTTGCACATATTAATCGATTAGGTTTGGTTGTATAAAGTGTAGGTTATAAAAAGTCGGCGAAAATAGCCATAGATAAAAAAGCGAAATAATAAAATGACTTGAGAAAAATTTGGCCAAATACACAAATGTGATATGGAAATTGGCCAATATTACCTATACAATTATCATTATTTTTTAAGTATTATCATACAATTTTTTATTCAAAACACAATAGGTAATAATTAAAAATATAGTTTAATAAAAGATCTGATATTGGAGATGGGAGAGGCTACTGTTGTAGGTGAGAAGTTCGGAAGGTAGGATACATAAGGTTATTTCATTTATATCTGTAAGCAACTATAAACCATTGCTAACGAAAGACGATTCCGAACGCAATTCGGTAATACATAATTTGAAGTGCCGTAATTTTCTTTGCGATTTTTGTTGAAATTTGATTTTAAAACGCTTATTAAAATAAATTCAATAAATATATGGTCTCTTGTTGTTTTTCAATTGGAGCCATATTTGTACTAGAGAACGTGGTAGGTAATTATTTTAAATAACAAAATCGTATTTTTTTCCCGGTTAATCGTTTTTATTTTAAATACTGTTTCGAAAATCAAAAAATAATTTATGTATTTACCAAGTAGATAAAATTGACTTTCAGAAAAGGTGGTACACTTGTACATCGGATTAAGTTTTCTAGGATAAAAGTGGTCTGCACTTTATAAAAAAAAAAAGTAATAATAAAGTACCATTGTAAAAAAAATTTAAAAAAAGTCAAAAAAGTCGTTCGATTATTTTGGAAATTTTACCACGTCTAGGTTAATCTAATGTAAGTATTATTCCCAAGTTTCAAGTCTCTACGTGTATTTATAACCGAATATTACAGTAAAAAAGTAACTCAAACATTTTGGCAATGATACTGTAAGAAAGTAAACCAAAAAGGCAACAAAAAATGTATCATGTGATTTTTCGATTAAATCATTTTTTGTGGTAGAAAACGCTGTACGTGTTTTTATAAAATAACGAAATCGTGAAATTGTGCGTTTTTCGTCGTTTTTTCCCACTTAAGTGCTTTTATTTAAAAAATGGCGTCAAAAATCAAAAAAAAATTATTTTTTTAATGTACAATATATATATATATATATATAACTTGAATTTTTAGAAAATTTGCCACACGTAAAAATCGAAGCAAGTTCACTTGGAAATAACGTGTCCACAAACTAGAACAAAGAACAAAGAAAAAAGAAAAAGAAATAAACAGCATTATAAAATAAATACCTCCCTCGCTACGCTCGGAGTCTAAAAGAAAAATAAGTTATTTGGGATGGGTGCAGCCACTAGTGTAAATGAAAATTTGGGAAGGTAGAATACAGACGGGATATATATCTGTAAGCAACGATGTAAAAACAATTCTGAGCTGAGTTCAACTGATAGTGATGTCAACAATATATATGCCATATTATACTAAAATAATTAAATGGATTCTGTCTATTTTCTTTAATAATATTTTGTTTGATGTTGTACCGATTTCCCAGGTTTTCTTACGTTTTTCCCATGTTTTTTCCCAGTTTTTCACATTTGCTGAATCAACTCCGGAAAAAATCGAAAAATAACGTCTCTAAAGTACTTCTCTAGTGAAATTTCCTTTTAGAAAAATCGTCATCATTTTATGTTTGATCGAAAAGTAGAAATGGTAGAAAAGTTTTCAACAGAAAAAAAAAATAAACACCTTTGTAAAACCATAAGCTTCTCGCTCCACTCAGAATCTAAAAATTAAATACTCTTCTAATGCAGGAAAATAGACTATGAAAAGAAATTCAATTTTATTTTTAACTGTCACATTTGTATCGGCTATTGTTGTCGGCCAGACTCGGTTATAGATAATATAATACGTGTTTGTTCCCGTCTGTATCCTACCTTCCCAAAGCCCCACCTACAACAGTGGCTGTACCCACGTGCGAAATATTTATGCGTATAGTTAAATAAAATTTCTAACGGGCCATAGCCCCTTTGCCCTCTTAAATACCGTCTCTGATACAGGGGCTTGAACAGAACATCCACCCGGCATACAGTTGTACAATAGTTTACACGGCTATATCTATTTATTTGCACCCCCAATAGATTAGTATCTCATTTTGCTATAGCTACTCCACAGTTACATGAAATGAATACATAAACTTTAAACTTACTCAGTGAATACGGATTGAATCGACCGCATCATATTTGTTTGTGCGTACAGAAATATTGCGCATAACCGTTTTATTCACAAACAAGTCGTAATTTATACAATCATAATATTATAGTACAAGCACAAACGCAACAATCGCCAATAGTTAGCAATTCGAAATCAAGTAAGCGCTGTCATCAGTCTAGTAAAGTATTCGAATAAAAGTGTTTTAACAATTTTGTTGTATTCAAATAAGATCTTGAATATTTTTTGGAGAAAAGCATTCAAATACGTGTTCTGTAATTACTTTTTGTATTCTTTATTCATTAAAAAAAAAAAAAAACACTTTCTTTCGACTTTTCAATTTTATTACTTTTGTATTATTTATTACGTTAAATACATTTAAAACATCTTTGATAATAATTGAGAAAAATGAAATTTTACCAGAAATATTGCTTCAATAAAAAAAAAACATTAACAGATCATTTTTGTTGAATTTTTAATCTAGTTAGTATCCACTAATGTCTTTTTATAATTTTCTTTGCAGTTTTTTTAATAATTCTGCAAAATAGAAAAATACGTAGAAATATCCGAAATATTTACGAAAATAATTATTTTATTTTTTAAATTTAATTCAATTTAAATTATTCGTCAAGATTTAATGTGTCGACAAAAAACCTATATTTGCTTTTTCTAGACGTGTAAAATTTCAGAACATTTAAGCCATTTTTAAGCTATTTATAGACATTTAAATCTTGCGAGTTTTTTACATAATTTTATTTGGCAAGTGTTCCGTAGATAAATTACTATACTTAATATAAATGCTTGAAAATTTGATAGAAGATTCATTATAAGTCTTACTTAATGGTCAACAAATTTAGTTTAATGTAGTATTATTATTTTTTTTTATAAGAAATTTAAAATTAAATTTTGACGAAAATCGTAAATATTACGACCTTCAAAACATATCTAACCAAACTTCGCTCCGAATCGTTTTTCGTAATCAAAGGCTTATCGTTGATCATAGATATTAATTAAATAACTTTCTATACACCACCTTCCCCACTACCCACCTACAACAACGTTCCCAATATCAGCTCTTTTTTTTTTTTATTGTTGTTTAAGCCAATTAAAATTATAACATTTCTAGTTTCTTTGATTAAGTGCAATTCCAATTTACTTTACAAAATTTTGTATAGTAAATGTTTATATATATATGAATATAAATTTATATAATAAATATCATTTCACGATACGAACCCAATTTATTGTCATCAAAACATGCTCTTAAACATGTTTTGCTTGAAGTAGCGGTTTAAACGTACAATTGATATGTGACGTGTGGGGGTACAGCACCAATAAGTCAATCGCGGTAAATGAATAACGCTGAAAACAAATATTCGTTTAGGGGAGGGGGTATTTTCTTCGGCTATCTCTGGCGGTTTTTTAATTTATCTACGAGAACCGTCGCAGTGCGGGTTTCCAAACAGTTCTCGCAAATTCACGTTAAATATTGGTCGGCATCAATGTTTGAAAACCACGAATGTTTCAATCAAATACTATTGGCTTACCTATCGAGCGTCGATAATTAAATCGATCGTGTGTATTCCGTTCAAATATGATAAGATAACCTTATACACGACCTTAACAAAATAATATACGCAACCTACGAGATCGTAAATTAAACGTAGTTATAAATTGGATTTTTACCGTTAGTTTATATCTAACTATTACATAAATATGTAATACAATGATTAGAATAGTAACAATTTTTAAAATGTTCGTATGTCGTAGGCCACGTTTATTTCTGAATTATTATTTTTCGTTTGTTGGTTCGAAACATTAGTCGGTTATATTTTCACACCCGGAAAAATACGCATTTCGAGGTAAGACGCATAACCTAATTATTGTTTTTCTAAATACTTATTACAACAGCTTAAACCGGCCAAAAGGAACGAGCAATCCGGATCCGTCCACGTCAGTTCAGTCCGTTATGTCACGAGTATAGCGAAATTGACCGTGGACAGACGCCGAAACGAATAAAAAAATATCTTTAAAAAAAAACACGTGTTTAGGCGACTGGACGAAAAGGATTAAATGTGCAGTAAATGTCAAAATATTTACTGATCCGTCATATTTGGAATTCGACTGAACTGAACTGCATGGATCCAGCTCGCTCTTTGATAATATTTTATTATGTCCTATCTATAACCACTACAGAATATGTATATTACTTTAGAAAAATATGTTGAATTATATTTTTGAATATTAATTGAATTTGTACTTTCGGACATTTTATCGACGTCCTACGGACTAAATGAGCTCTGACTCGGAAATTTACTGGCGTTTTATTAGCGGATTTTAGTGATAAAACTTTGTTTGAATTTAAATGTGAACTTTGTTTTAGTGGGAAGAGGGTGTTTTTTTAACATTGTACACTCCTACAGACCTCCCCCCCCCGAACGGAGATGGAGATATATAATATTGTGATATACATGGTACAGGTTAAGTTATCCTAACTGGTATCAAGGATACATCAAGTATGCCAAAGGTATCATGGACGATATCAACGACGTGCCTTTCAGGGGTTTCAACTTTCAATTCCCACTCCCGACGACTGTATATTGACGAAAACATCGAGAAAGATTTTTATTTGATTTCTTATTCGGTTATCCTATAAAATTTCTATTTTATGACACTTTTAGATTCGGAGAGTAGCGAGTTCTATTGGTTTCCCTACGATGTGTGTTTTAGTATTTTTTCTGTTTATGAACAATTTTTCTATCAGAAAACCTGCTCCGAGGTACAGACTATAGCACCTTTTCTGAAAGGAAATTTTCTCTAGTTGATGCGTTGAAGAGGTCATTTTTTTTGATACTCCAATGGGATTTGAGAAAAACCCGAAAGAAAATTATAGGTAAAACGAAAAATATTCACGGCACGCCGCGGCATTACCGTTTTCATTGTTTTTATTATGTTCCCAAAACTGTACTGTCAAACGTCTGATTACGTCTGATAACGTCCGATCTGAGGGGGGTGGGGTATCGTGCTGATCACAATGACTAGTTTAGACGATGTGTATTACCACCTTGCCATTTGTACTTGTCGCTCGCGCCGGTACTTATCACTCGCACTGGACTTAGACGTTCGCACTAGTTATTTTGTGTACGGTAGTGTATGGTGTTAATAAGTAATAACAAAAGTCGATAAGCTAAACTTCTATGAAGCACCGAGCACCATCACCGGGCGGTCACGCGTTACGAGTGCGACCGCGAGTAGAGTCGAGTCGCGGAGGTTTTACTAATGCTAAGCACTACGGTTTGCACGCGTGGTTTTAGTGCGGGTGAAAAGTTATATGCATCGCGGAAACCAGGCGTAACGGTTAATTATCACAATAGCGACGATCGTTTTTCAGATGCTTTGCGGCGACTGGACGGCGGCCGTGGTGTTGCTGGTGACGAGCTGCTTAACGCGGACGACGACTACGGCTCACCGGATACTGGCGTACGAGCCGTGCGCGGGATCGAGCCACTGGAACGTAATGTCGGCCGTCCTGGAGAGCCTGGTGGACGCGGGCCACGAGGTGGTGTGCTTGACCATGCACCGGGCCGCCGAGCGCTTGGCCGGGCACCCGAACTACACGTACATCGACATTACCGCGCTGACGGCGCGGCCGGAGGAAACGGCCCGGGACCTGGACTACGGGCAGGTGATGAAAATATTCCGGTCGAACGCGTTCATGATCGGGATGGCGCTGACCTGGGCCCAACGCCTGTGCGAGACGCTGGACGACGTGCCGGCGGTCCGGCGCCTGTTCGACGGCACCGACGGCGGCCGGCCGTTCGACGCCGTCGTCATGGAGTCGCTGCACTCCGAGTGCCAGTCCGCGTTGCCCGGCCGGTTGGGCGGCGTGCCCGTGTTCTACGTGGTCCCGTGTCCGTTCGTCGACTGGATGCCCACGGTCACCGGGTCGCCGGACCACCCGTCTTACTTGGGCGGCCTACTGACCGACCGCCCGACACCCGACAGCTTCGGCCAACGGCTGCACAACGCCGCGGTGTACGTGCACACAAACTTCTTGCGGTGGTACCTCGACGTGTCGGCCGACGCGGTCCGGTGGCCGAGGCCGCGCGACGCCGTGGTATTCGTAAACACCCACTACTCGGTGGAACCGGCCCGGCCGCTCGGACCCAACGTCGTCGAGATCGGCGGCATTCACCTCCGGCCCCCGGAACCGATACCCCAAGTATGTGGTTAAGTGACGAGTGTCGGGTAATAAACCACCGCGATACCGTGTATCGGCCGGTGTCGAGAATATCCGACTATCGGTAATCGGTCTTTTTATATTGAGAAACCGATATCGGATCCGATATTTTTGAAACAATATTTATTTTTTAACATTTGTATTCAATAAACATCCGATTCCGATAATAACATTACAATACGAAACGATCAAACAATCAAACAACGATCGTAAACTGCAATTTATCGGTATCGGTTTAAGTCCGGAGCGTACAGCTCCTTTAGTTATAAATAAAACTTTATCTTTCGGAGGTATTTTCAGTTTAGGTTGCTATTCGTAGATCAAAGCGGTTGGCGGGCAGCGGTTGCACCTCTAAAAATAACGGCGAAAGAAATGGGAAGGGATAATTTTTAAGAACATTATAATACATAATGTTTTTTTTTTATTTTTCTACAACTATGAAGATAATATGGCGCACAGGGCGGTTTTTTAAGCACGCTCTCCCCGTTCGTATGGTTAAAACGGTTAAATTATACATGAATTGAAACTCTGTTTTTTTTTTTTTTTAATTTTTAAGTGCATTGAACGACGATATTTCTGCCATAATTCGATTTTTCGCAATACTTATGGAGTATCCTATAAGGTGATAGCAATTTTGGTTTTTCAAACGAGAAACTGCATATTATATGTTTTGACGAAAATCATTGATTATATGATTTTTTTTTGAAAACTTAAAAGTATTATAATACAAAATTTGAACGAAACGGGTTTTGAGTTATTCTGCCTAAATACTAATAAAGATGTTTCCATTTGTGCAGCTATTGTCCCCTTTAGTATTTAAAGTAAAATAACTCGGACGGTTTTCGTTAAAATTGCGATTTTTAAACATTTTCAGAAAAATCATCTGATTGAAATGTAGGTTCTCCTGCAAATACAGTATTGTCACAGGATACTCGTTGAGTGTCGTGTAAAATCGTAAGTATTCGAAAAATATATCGTTTTTCACTATGCGCTTAAAATGTCCAATTATAATTTAACCGTAAAGCACTGAGCACGTGCTTGAAAAATCCCCCCCCTCCGCGTAAATTATTATAAATATTTAATAAAAATGACTCAATTAAGGGGAGAGGGGCGGGGTTAGGGACGTCATCCTCGCTGCCCCTACCCTACCCCCTACCCCTCCTCCCCGGTTCGACAGCTCCCGTGAGCGACGAGCGTGACGCGACCGGCCGTTTTCCGTATTAGGACATAGCGGACGTCATGGACAAGAGCGGCGAATCCGGAGTGGTCGTGTTCAGTCTGGGTTCGTTGGTGGCTGTGGATTCGTTACCGGACGATGTGTTGGCCGCGTTCAAGTTCGCGTTCAGTCGTCTGTCCCAGACGGTCATATGGAAGTACGAAAACGATCACATGCCCGACAAGCCGAAGAACGTGGTTCTGTGCAAGTGGTTGCCGCAACGCGCTATATTGAGTGAGTGCAAAGGCCCGCGGTTGAACGCCACGCGGTGCACGTTAATTTCGTACAGAGTGTGCCGCATGGCGGCGTACTGGAGAGGTTAGGGGATACATTTCGTTTGCCGTTTAGATCGGCTTGAAAATACACGAGGAATACGAGTAATCTAATACCGAAATGCCGTATATTTCAGCCGCGTCGCGAAGAAAAAAATTGCGGACGAATCGATCGTAGAGATTGGCTTTTTTTTTTTTTTAATTTTAGAATCCGGCTTTTAAAACACCGATATTCTCACAGTCGAGTCGGGTACAAAAGAAACGATTTCACGATATATTTACGATTCTAATTCGTTCCGTCCACTCGTCGGGCCCGGGCCACTGCAGTCCCGTGAAGACACACAATTGCGATATCGAGGGGGGGGNGGGGGGGGGGGGAGATTAGTGGAGCGCCGTTCGTAATCCGCACGCCGCGTAAATGCCGTTTCATTTTGAGTAGGGGGAGAATAGTAGAGTATATTTTCGCTAAAATTACGTGCGACAGAGAAAACAAAATATGTTAGTAACATGAAGATTTAAAAGTTAATTTTACGTTAGGTTATAATAAAATAATCTACAAAATGTTGTCACGGCTCCAAGTTTGTACACCGCATCGTGTTTTATTTACACATTTATATTAGAGCGTTCCTTACTTGAATCTTTTTGTAGTATCTATTAGTGGAAAAACTAGTTCGAAATAATTTTTAAAAAAATCCTGTAATTTTTCAGATTTCTGCGTGACACCGTCAAAATCAGTTTTTCTTTCCTCGAAGGACAGTAGTTGTTAGTCGATTCCTACATGTTTAGGAGTTCTTCGGGTACACTGAACATAGGGACGAATTAACGTCTTAAACGTTGTAAAAACGCGTGTATTTTAAACGGGAAAATTCAATTGCCATGGGGCACCGCCGAGCAACAAAATAAAAATCTGAAAAAATGACAGGATTTTTTTCACAACTATTACGAACTAGTTTTTTCACTCGGAAACTTGTTCCGAGAATAATGAACGCCCCAATGTGTATAGTAGAACGCGTCCCTGAGACGATTGATCGCCTGTGCGTCGTGTGATGTTGCATTGATCGTATTTATATCGCACAATATCTGTTATCTATATAATTCATAAGTCCTAATTACGAAAAAAAATTTAAAAAATATTGAAATGTTTCATCTCCCGTGGAATCGACCTGTAGACAATCGAACGGTCATTTCATAACTGAGAATACCCATGTCAGTTATTCCGTATACATAATATGTAATGCGTACATTTCGGTACTTCGGTACAATGATATTATATTGTTATTCGTTTTCACGACAAAATCGTCCGGGGTCGCGCGAACATTAATAATCAATTTCGAAAATTTAATTTTCTAGAACACCCGAATGTGAAATTGTTCATAAGCCACGGAGGAATGAACGGCGTGTACGAGGCGGTGGATGCGGGAGTCCCAGTACTCGGCCTCCCGTTGTTCTACGACCAACCGAGAAATGTGCAAAACCTGGTGGACATCGGCATGGCGTTGTCTTTGAATATCGATAAAATATCGAAAACGACGTTACTAAAAACCGTTAATCGATTACTCGACGAACAAAGGTACATTAATGTTTTCTTTGTTATTGTTCTTCTTTTCGGGCACTCTGTACTCCTACAAGAGTTTTAACCGTCATCGCGATATCCCTACATTTCTCTCTGTCTGGAACTATCCTTATACTCGCATTCCCAATCTATCGGGGTCCTCTTCGACGAGATCCAACCATTTTTTTCTGGGTCTTTTCCCCCATAAGATCTCAGTTCATATAATTGTTCTAATCGCACTGTCCTCCCACAATTTCATTGTTGTCTTTTCCTGTAGCCCTCTGCTAAGTTTCCTCGTCCACGTACATGTTTCGTCACCGTGAATTTATTGGTCTACACAATTTCCTCTATATTTTGTTTTCGCACCTCCTAATTCTTCTCTCATTGGTATTCAACGGTAGTCTATGCTTCGTAAGTAAGTGTAGGCCTTAGTACCGCTCTTTTTAAAGACTTTTGACTTTAAAAAACATTTTAGACCAAAGGACATCCTTTTGGCCTTGATTATCCACAATTCTATCTTTATCTAGACCAATCATTTATCATGCTCAGTACAGCTCCTAAGTCCTAGGTACCGAAATTCGTTCTCTTTTTCATCGATTGCATGTTTTCATCTACGTGCTTTTATTATTTAAATAAACTGGGAATTCGATTGTAATTCCTAATCCTAGCAAGTGTTCTTCCGGGCGAAGTATGATATATTATTATCGAACAAAATTCTACGACAAATAATAATAATTCATTATTTCGTGACGTGATTCCGTTCGAATCACAGACATGTTGAAAAAAGTCAAATTTTCACGATAAATTCTGTTTAATACAAAAAAATACGCCCTGTGAAATATGCACGTGTAAAGCGGCCTTATATACCGAAACATTGTATTCAGTTTTTCAGAAAACGCCAAACGGGTGTCGTCCCTGTTCCAAGATCGCCCGATGAAACCCGCCGATTCTGTTGTATATTGGGTCGAGTATTTTATCAGACACGGCGTTTCAGCTAACATCAGACCTTTGTCGGCGGACGCGACATGGACCAGCCATTTTATGTTGGACCTTTTGGTCGTCTTCGCGGGCGCAGTGATCGCGGTGTGGTTTTGTTCGCGTTTGGCCATTTTCAAGACGCTAAACAAATGTTTACCGTCGAAATGACGCGTCGACGTGCACTGATTTGAAACAAACTAACCGCAAAACAGACTATATAAAATAATTATTCGGATGCGACGGGAAAACATAAAAAAAAATTATTTTAAGAGTATTTAAATGTGTATAATATCGTATTACTCAAACCGACATGCTATATTGTGAATGAATATAGTAGAAAAAGGGCAATAGGTGTATAATGCGTAGTCGTTAGATTTTAAAAATTGTCCAGCGATGAACAATTTTTTGATTACGTTTACGTGGTGTCGTAAATTTTTTTTTTTTTATCAAGCATTGCGACTTTTTGTATATATATATCCGTTTGCTTTATAATATCATTTTAATGTTGACGTTTTTATTTGTTAGCGTTTGAATTTGTCTTTAAATGAACGTTATTGGTACGATTTTAATACATTTTGTACCGATTGAATATTAAATAAAAACAATTGAACTGCGTACTGTACATTTCGTATTTTTTCTTGCATATTGTTTCCTTTATAAGTGCATAATAAATAAGATATGTTGGCGCATGCAAATCCGGTCTTTACTCATTAGGTGTGTAGTATTATATTGTTTTTTTTTAACTGTGTTTTTAGAACAGACAGTAACTAATGACTATTATGTTTGTAAACCGACGGCCTTATTAGTACAAATTGTGTATCAATTATTGATATTTCGCTAATAATAATATAATATTGTGTACAAGTAAATCTGTATCAAACCGACGAGTAAATCTCGGTGGGCCGCGCAAAAATTATACTAATTTTAAATTTAATTTATATCGATTTAATACATTTTGTGTAATATTAGTCCGGTGAACATCCTAAGACTTGGCGGGCCGATCCAAGTATTGTAACCTTTGTGTTTTTTTTTTCAGTTTAAGTTTTTCAAAAAAAAATGTATTGAGGTTTCGGTCTTAATCATTAGTCATAAAAATATTGTATTTAGTTTACATTAATATTGAAATATTAAACTAAATTTTTTTATTTGGCGGAAAAATGAATTGGTGGAAAAGGGAAAGGTACGATTTTGACAGAAAAGGAAATCGACCAATTTTATGATTTGGCGAAAACGAGTACCGGCGTAAAAAAGAAAAGTACGCTTTTGGCGGAAACCGACCATGCCCGTTGATAGTGCGGGTTTAAAGGTGAAAATGTTTGTATAGAGAACGTGTTCCGATCGACTATTGACATTTCGTACACAAAACTAATTAAAAATAAGGTCGTAATGAACATTTTCATTTCCACCACAGGTACTTCCATTCAGGCGTTTCCATCTCTAGTATTCGATTTCCCCCATTCTCCGGTTAGCCGATTATTCGAAAACATTTTACGAGTTGTCTACTTAATTTTTTTAAAAACTTTTCAAGGCGAATATTACATTTGCATTTGTGTATAATTAGTGTCGAAGGCCAGCGTGCAAGCCGATGACGATTTCCGATGGCTGTAGAAAAAACAATTGAATATTATTTAAATTTGAGTCTTTACAGTTTATAATCATTAAAGTAAATGATAGAAAAAATATACGAACTTTTGATCTGTTAATGATCTGTTCTTTCGTTATTTAGAGGATTAAAATATCTAAATAATTTTATTACGTAATCATTTTTTTTGTAATTTTTTTTATAAATCGTTATATTATTTCATAGCCATTATCAATGAATGATAATATTATATGCGTTTATTGGTGCACGGGTTATGTTATATTTTCTTATCGTCGGTTTCGGAATTAGTACCTTTTCGATTATTTCAAAAGGGAATTCATTAAGAAAAAAAAAAAAAATAGTAGATAACAATAAGGATTATAATCGCAAAAACTCTTATTAAGTGTAATTAATAAACAGTGAATGTTAATAAGTATCGGGTAACCGCCGATTTAACAGACTTCTATTCGGCGAACAACGACGTACGTAGAAACTCGACACGCCAACGCAATAATTATTTGCGCGTATTATTCTCTGCTCGTTCGCCGGACGGCAATGTTATTTATTTACATAAAGGATACGGTGGGCACACGGACGTTTTTCAAGTTAAATCCGGCCCCCGGGAAAGATGGCGACGGGGTTTGAACGCTAAGTCGAACTCAAACGTCTGCACCGAGGTATCGGTTGTCCCCGCCGAGTAACAATATTTTGCTCGGTTTGCCCGTCGTCGGACGTACAGTGCGCACTGTATTATTAAAACTATCGCACCGATACGGGGGACGAGTGCTTATTGGGACAAGCCGACCGGAGAAAACGTACCTAATTTGATCATTTCTGTAGTAAACGGGCCCACGTAATCCGGAACGTGTTATAATGTACGCGTATAGACGGAGCATTTAGTGTGATGTCGCGTGTCCGGTAGCAGTGGCGTAAATATTGAGTGGGCAAGACGGGCAAACGGCACGGCCCTCCCCCCCCCCACAACTGATGAAGGCCTCAGCAGTGACCTTGGTCGAAGCCCAAGGCATTATTGGACACGTGGTCTTTTTGAACGACTTTTAGGTTCCGAGTGTAGCGAAGAGTGCATTGGTTTTACAAAGGTGTTTATTATTATTATTTATTTTTTTTTATGTCAACACTTTTTCAACCAGAAAGCTAACTCTGATGCATGCGATGTTGGCCTTTTTCCGAAAGGAAACGTTCTTGAGGCGATACTTTCAGCGGTGTACCTAGACCTCACTTATGGGAGGGGGGGGCGAAATATATTTTCACCCATTCTTAAAATTGAAAATTTCCTAAATATGTACGTCACAGCTAACCAAGCAGGTGTTTTTTTTCCATTTAACCCAATTTATTTGGCAACGTGTACAATCAAATGGGATACAAGTTAGGTATACAAACGATTCAAATTTTGCACTCGAATTAAGAAAAATAACAGCCTTAGGTTATGTACCCGAAAATAATGTAATTTCAGCATTTGAATCTCTGTTGGATTCCGAGTTTTATAGAGAAAATTAAAGAGAGTGAGTCTATCAGATTTAATCAACTATTCTGAAGACACGTGGATTGGACGAGTCTGCCGGAGAGCGAAAAGAGCCCCTTTATTTTCTATAAATGTTTGGAATTGTTATGCATTATCAAAGTATGATATTCCACGAACTAACAATTCGGTCGATGGTTAGCATAATTGTTTTAGTTCAACATTAAGTTCTCGTCGTCATTCTGTCCTTCTATTTACTGAAAAGGGTGGAAAGCTTGAACCGTTTAAAAGTTTAACAGTATATTGCTGGCATCAAACCTCCGACAAAGAAAAAAATAAAACGATTCTGCAATTCGACTTAAACCTATGTGTGATAATTATGAAAATCTATCAATTAACGAATACCCGCGTGTAATTTCGTATAATTTTCACAATCAATTAATATAAAAATATAATTTATTATTTTGTTTATTACAATATTTTGAATTATTATTATTTTTCATTTCCTACTTTGTGTTTATTTATTACGTACGACTGTGTACTTTGTACGGTATAAAATTAATAAAATAAAATTATACTATACATATTATAATATATTAATATTGTATTTTTCATATTTTCTCGATATTGCGACATTTTTGTCTTCGCGACATTATCTCGTTCTTAATTTATCAAAATATACACAGAATGTACATTAATACACTATTTATTGGATATAATATTTCCACATTGCGTTACGTTCCAAAACGTATGCAACCTCTATTGTTTTATTATACACGATAAAAAAAAAAAAAAAATAAATACCAAACTCTATCGTCCAAAAAAAGATCTAAACAATTTTGGAAAATTATAAATATGTATTGTATTACTTATTTGCATAGTTAGCCTCCATTGGAAAAGAAAAAAAAACAATTTTATCAGCAGTTGAATAACTGTTTAAATTATGAAACGCGCGGGATTTTTCATAGATTACGCGGGGAAGTGCGCGAACTCTCGTATCGGGAATGCAATTGGAATTTTAGCAGACATTTTATCAAAAGCGACAAGGTAGACGTATAAATAATAATTTATTATGATGTCAACGGTTTTGGCGCGGCGGACAAGTTTTTCATCCCACCGTGTGACGTGGACTCGTTTCCCCGATAAACGGGAAAAAAACCGAGGAAATTAGTACGATATTTAATACAAATATTATCAAAGAAAATGTGTAACGCATGTGTGTAATATATGTAATACGTAATTATTTCACCATAATCGGACATTGTTGACAAAGCAACGCTATCAACTGAACTCCGTTCGGAATCGTTTTTCCGTTAGCAATTCGTTAATCGTCGCTTTACAGATATATGCGTTAAATTCGATATTAACCAAAAACATTTCTGACCACACGTTTTTCGGCTAAAATACTGTTGCGACGAAATATTTACGGATGTTTTTGTAAAAAATGGCCCCTATGTTTTGACCCGATCGATTCGTAATAGTATTTAATTGATTTTGTAATTTTATAATTGTTGATATTTGGATTCTGGGGAAAATTAATTACATAAAACAATACGTTTTGTCAAATTTAAATAGGTGAAACCGTTTGCAAACGTTTTTGATAAAACTATAGAATTTACTTGCGTACATTTAAATTGTTTGTGGAATGTATTGATAAGGAGTTTATTCGTTTATTGGTACATAATAATGTTATTGTAATATGACGTCCGATTGTTTAGACCGCCCTGATGGACATCTTTTGAACGGTGGGAAGGGGGGGGGGTGATATAATATTGTCTTACGTTTAAACAAGACAATTGACACATCATTTTTGAATTGTGGATATTAATAACAAACAAATTATACCTTTCTTAGCTCCTCAGCTTCGTCTCGTTCGGTACACGTCGACTGGATCTGTCGGTACGGTACTACGAACTGCCGGCGTCCGCGCGGTTTCGGAGTATTCAGTACTTAAATCGGGATATTTTAATTGAATTGCGACCGTCGTCCGACGTCCGCCACTATTCTCGGGGCAGGTAAAACGAACGATATCCTATATTTCCGTGGACCTATGCCCCGTCGCAATTCTCGCATCCACTACTCCGGATCCCTCCGAACATCGGGCGGAATGCAGTCGTCGGGTATATTTTTTTTAAACGCTGTGTTATGTTTTACAAGGTACGTACACGTATAGTTAAGCCGCGATTGAATAACGCCACGGTAGACTATGGAAAAAAAAAAAAAAAATACGTTCGTAATCAATTTTAGAATTTATTTATCTGTTTGTTTTTTTTTTTTTTATTATTATTATTATTATTATTATTATTATTATTATTATTTTCCCGATAATATTACTTTGAAAACGATGCCCGCCGCCGACCGGTCGAATAACACACATAATGACATATTATTACACCGGCGATAGTAATACGGTCATAATATCACGGTACAACAATTATCCGTGAACGGTGATAACAATTGCCGTGACCGGGTGAACTCAACGAATGGTTTTTTTTTTTTTTGTTTTCTTTCTGTTATCACACGGGCGCGCAAAAATATAAGGCGGCCCGTTCGGCACGGGCAATTAAAATAATTATTTTCCGTAACGCACGCGTCACGCGTGTTTGCGAACCGTCGAACGCGGCCCGGGGGTCGGCGGAAAATATCACACACACTGACACGGCCGGCGCGTAGGACTCGCGCTCGACGCGTCGCCGAACAGCGCGCCGAACAGCGCGCCGGTAAAAACGTCGAGAAACGCCGGTCCGAGCCGCAGCCGATCGTCGCTCGCGGTCGAGTACGAGAACGACGATAACAATTGTTGGGCGTATTACCGCTGTCTGTCGTGGCGTTCGGCGGGTCGAGAAAACCGGTCGTGCGCGAAACGGTGAAACAGTGCAGAACGAACTTCCGCGGGAACCGGTCCGGCGCGCGGGTACCGGTCAGTCTGTTTCGAAGCGTTTGTCGAGCCGCCCGTGGACCGCCAACGAGATAATACCGTGCGCGGCCGCGACTGCATCCGAATTTTTACGATATCGCAGCGATCCCGCGCGCGAAGGGAACGCCGCCGATCCGTGGTATCGAAAGAGCATTTTTTTTTTTTCTCGTCCGGCCCGGTACCCGCGGATTACCGTAACGGTTTTTTAGAGTGCCCGGCGCGCAAAAGGTCAGTTAATTTCATTATTATTTTTTTCTACGGCGCACGGGTAAATCACGCAAACACGTTCGACTTTTAATAGCGTTGTACAGTTGTATTTTTTCTCTTTTTATTCGTTTGCATTGTCGTTTTCATTTTATACCATCCGATAACTTGCTCGGATTTCCACGTGTAGCATCTTTTCTGAAAGCGAATCGCCGTGGTAAGGTACTTTAAAGAGGTTAATTTTTTTGGTTTTCCCAAGAATGTTTCCAGCAGATGTGAAAAACCGGGGTAAAACAAGAGAAAACCGGGAAAAACGTAGGAAAATTGGGAAATCGGTACAACGTATTTAATTATTATTTTTTCTATAAAATGACATATATATTGTTGACAGTGCATCACTATCAACTTAACTCCGCTCAGAATCGTTTTTTCGTAAGCAATGGTTTATGGTTGCTTACAGATATACATTGAATTCCTTTCTGTATTCTACATTTTTCATATTCCCACATACAGTGGCTGCACCCGTCCTTATTATCCTAGGGCGTCTTTTATAAAAATAATTGAGCAAAACCAAAAAAAAAAAAAAACATAGAAATAATGGGAAAATTTACAAAAATAATTCTATTATTATCATATAACTTTTGTTTTTTTGTTGTTATTCAGTAGATACTTTTTATTTGGTAGGTTCAAGTACTCCGTAAACAAAATCGTTAGACTTAACAGAAATATTAGAAAATTTGACAGAAGGTTCATTAAAGTTGTATACTTGATGGCCAAAAAAACAAAAAGAAAAAATGAGTGTAATTTAGTAATTTTTTTATTTTTTTTTTTTTCATAAATAAGTTTCAAAATCAAATTTTGACGAAAATATCACGGCCTTTAAAAAACACGTACAACCGAACTTTGCTCCGAATCAGTTTTTCGTTGCTTACGGGTATAAATTAAATAACACTATATGCATCCCACCTTCCCGACTTCCCATCCACAACAACAGCACACCCGTCCCAGAGTATCAGCTCTTTTTTTCTTTCTTTGCTATTTTGGCTACCTATTATTTATTTATTTGAAATACACGCCCGGAAGCACGCAGTACCTACAAGAAATTAGATACTTAAACTAGTTTGACAAAAATCGTACATATGGATAGCGAAACGTACAATAAAATTTAATGAGACTATTGAGCGCTCAAGGTTTATAGTCAGTATCCAATATATTAAAAAAATTTTAAAAAAAAGATAATATATTATAATTTGTAGTAACGTGTTCTATAAGAGAAATGAAAAATATCAAAATTTTTTTTAAAAGTTATTACGGGAACAGGAGACAAGTGATCCTGTAAATAGGAGAAAAAAATTAATTAATAATAATATTAATTATAATGCACGTTCAATTTCGAAATTTAAGACTTTTTACAAATAATACTACATTCGAATATCGTGTTATCTGTGCGCGCGAACACGACGATAAACACCCCGGTGCCAATAATTTCTCAATACGTTTCAGACGAAAATGCGACCGCTATGCTGGCTGTTGTTGTCCGGGCTGATCGCCGTCGGCGAGCGTCGCGCAGCGGACGCGGCGAACATTTTAGCGATAACGCCGATAGCCGCGGCCAGCCATTGGAACGTGATGAGCTCCGTGCTGGACGTGTTGGTGAACCGTGGCCATAAAATCACCGTAGTGTCACCGTTCCCGAGAAAAACGCCGCACGAAAATTACACCACCATCGATGTTTCCAAATTGGTGCCGTTCGCGATAGCGTCGCCTTGGGATACGGTAAAAAAAAAAAAAAAAAAAAAAAGAAAGAAGAGCTGATACTGGGCATGGGAGCGGCCACTGTTGTAGGTGAGAAGTTGGGAAAATAGGATACACGAAGTTGTTTCATTTATATCTGTGAGCAGCGATAAACCATTGTTTGACGAAAGACGATTCCGAGAGCGGTTCGGTAATGTATATAATTTGAAGTGCCGTATTTTTTTTTTTTTTTGCGATTTTCGTTTAAATTTGATTTTAAAACGCTTATTAAAAAAAAAAAGAAAAAAAAGTAGTCCGCTGATATTTGGAGACCTACCACGCCTAGGTCAATCCGATGTAAGTATTATTACCAAGTTTCAAGTTTCTTCGTGTGTTTATAATCGAATTACAGCAAAAAAAAAAACTGCTAAACATTAAAATTCCTTAAAATATCAAAAGTAAATCAAAAAGGCAACAAAAAGGTATCTTGTGGTTTTTCGGTTAATTAATAAAAATAATTAAATCGTGAAATTGTACGTTTCCCGCCTAAGTGCTTTTATTGAAAAAATCATAAAAATGTCCTCGTTAAAGTACGATCTATGCAACCTGAGTTTTCAGAAAAGTTGCTACACGTTAAAACCGGAGCGAGTTTACTGAGAAAAAACGTATCCACTGTCCATAACAAAGAACAAAGAAAAAAAATAATAAAAGAAACGAACGGCATTAGCTAAAACCAACAGCTCCATCGACACGTTCGAAATCTAAAATTAAAAAAAAAAAAGCCATTTCTATACGCGCACGCGCTGCCCGGTGCCTGCAGTGACGTGCCCGGGGATTTTCAACGGGAGGCGACGGTGTAGCCAACGACAATCGCGAATGAATTTTCGTAAAATTGTCTTCTCCATACCCGGGGACTCGACTGCGGGATCGGTAATTTGAATGCCGGATCCTAAAGTGGAGAAGCCGGTTTTCGATAAACGCGCCGAGCTCTTCCTCGCAACTCTGTCGAAGCGCGCGCACGGTAGAAAACTCCCTGTTCCCGTAGTATTTCCACGCCAACGGGGAGGGCAGTTATAAACCCCTAAACGTCCCCCGTCCCCGGCGCGCGCCGCCGCCGCCGCCTAACGCGCATTTATCCGTGTCGCGAATGTTCGCTCGCGTGACCGCAGGTACGTTTTGGCGGGCGCCTGCCCGCGGTCTACAAACGAAACCGCGCGCGCGATAATATTGGACCCGCACATTCGGTCCGCGGAGAGGAAACCCACGGACCGCCCGGATCGTTCGGACGTTGGTTTCGCCGTACGTCTCTCTGCGTCTCTAACTTTAGCATTTAAAAAAAAAAATGGTTACCGGTTCGTTATAGCCCCGCCGTCCACACAACAATAAATACATCGTATAAACATAAAATATTATAGTTCGGCGGAAAACACGTACCATTACCATTGGACGCCTAGAACAGGTGTTTATCACAAATAATCAATATATATATATATAATAAACCGATATAGAAAATAATGAGTTTATTTATTGATATTTATCGAATGTAATAGTTCGACGATGTATTTAATATAAATGTTCAAAAAGAATTAAAACCAAAAAAAAAAAAACGGAATGATGATAAATATTTTATATTTAAACGATATAATGTTCAGAAAAAAAAAAAAAAAAAAGTGTATACAAACGTATACAAATGTCCGTGCTCCCGGCGATTCCCGTGATATTATATCGATACACCGTCCAGTTATTAGATTAACAAATAAATTAAATTGAGAGATAGATTGAGAAATAGATTAAATACGTTCGTTATTTGCTTTACAGTCCTGTTATATAATATTGATTATTTTTTTGTGATTAGCCTACCCGTGGCAGGCGCCTAATAGTAAATGGTGCGCGTTTTCCGTTGAATTATTCGTTTTTTTTTTTTTTTTTTTTTTTTTTTTTTTATACGACGTATTTATTGTTATATGGATGTCGGGGCGATAACAAACCCGAATGGCGGGGCTATAAAATTTTCACTCGCCGCGGCGGTACTGTAACAGACCGGAGTACCGGGAAATGTGCACGCGATAGAGAATTTTGAAATGATGTAGCGTTCAATATGTCTGTACGGCGTATAATACGATTACACATTCTGTTGTTATAAACGTATACGAACGTATTATACATTGTTTTTTTTTTTTTTTTGTTTTGACGACCAATGCATTTTAGATTCTGAGTGGGGCGAAGAGGCTTACGGTTTCACATTTTTTTTTTTTTCTGTGGACAACTTTTCTACAAGCAATTTTGCTAATTTTTGCTCTAATGGTAGCAATGTTTCTAAAGGGAAATTTCACTAGGAAGGTACTTTAGAGAAGTCATTTTTCGATTTTCTCAGGAGTTTTCTTATCAAAATTGAAAAACAGAAGAAAAAAAAAAACGGGAAAATATGAGAAATTTAGGTATTAGTTAGAATAGATTACGGCGGCCTTCTTTTTTTCAGTGCATGACTCGTAACGGAACAAAATCACCATTACTACGAATAGCGATCGCGCCGAACGAACCGGTAGTCACAACGGCAGATCCACGCGCACGGCGAGCGCCTTCATTCTCATAGAGCGCGCTACCGGTAAAACCATTTACGTACGCCGCGCATCACACAGGACCCCCCCCGACGCCATTCTCGCATTCGGTTAGGAACATTGTACGGAATTTGAGTATACGCCAGGTTTCAACGATTCGAATTTTCGATACTATCTCATCATCGTCCAGTAGTGGTCAGTAGCTGATCAGTCCATCGCTTACTAGTTACTAGGCTACGAAATAACATCGTAGCATGCATACCAGAGGTATCGTGACTGACTTCGGCCTTCGGCTGTTTGCGGTGTTCGTACGGCTGGTACAAATTCAGTGCGGCCTAGTGCGGGTAGGTGCCACCCAATGCAGTGTGGAGCAGTGTAGTCCAGCAGAAGCAGACGAAGCCGGAGGGAAGACGACAGCGGCCTAGAAGATAGGTAGTGGTACCCCTAGACGCCACCACAGGCTTCAGTTCGCCCGTAGCGTACTTAGCCCGGCCTGCACCCCGTGGCGACGCCCAGTGTGCTGTTTTGCTCCTCGTCATCCGTTGAGTGTATTATATTGTAAATATTGCCGCATTAAACTTGTATTCTATTTGGTACCACTATATATTGTTTTGTGCACTCCAGTGGAATTATAAATGGAATGTACGTAGTTGTAAAACCATTGAATGTCATTATATTGTTTTTTTGTTTTTTTTATATATATATATATACAAAAATAAAGTTAATAATACCGATTACTCAAACCACAGCGTGTATTCGTGTTACAGACTTTTCTACCAGCAATTTTGCTCCGACGTGTAATGATAGCAATGGTTCTAAAAAGAAATTTCACTAGTGAGGTACTTTAAAGAGGTCATTTTTTGATTTTCCCAAAAGTGTTCCCGGCAGATGTGAAAAACCGGAGTAAGACCTGGGAAAACCGGGAAAAACGTAGGAAAATTGGGAAATCAGTATAATATTAAAAAATATTTAGTTATTTTTTTTACTATAAAATTACTTATATATTGTTGACAAAGCCGCACTATCAACTGAACTCCGCTCAGAATCGTTTTCTCGTAAGCAATGGTTTATATTCGCGTGATGAGCAATGAATTAAACGAGTCCAAAATAGATTCTTACTATATATTGATTTTCTCGTAAAAATCCATCATCCATCATCCGCACGATTACTCACTCGTCCGCTCCGCTTTTAGATTTCCAACTTAAGCCTCGCGTCAAGTTCAAGCAGATTACTCTCCCATAACGTTCCTTTTTAATGGGACCATTGACTCTTTTGACCTCCTATCCTCTATCTCCTTCCGCGTACACAAGAAACACAAGAAATCGTTTCCTTTTTCGTATTCTTCATCAATACACTTCATGCAGTCAAAATCATCCTTTGCATAAAATGCTAAGGCATCTCAATTAGTTTGGCCCTATAGTTTTTCTTCACTTATGTGTCTGTTTATAATGTACTCTCTGTGTAACACTGTACTCTACTATTATTGTATACTACTGGTAATTAAATATTGTCCGTTTAGGTATTGAAAAACAAAAGTAAATAAACAAAAATATCTCAATAATACGCACTAAAAATGTTTAAAAAAAAGAAATTAAAATTGTTCAGCAAATCGCTTCTTGATGGGAGGCGGGGGAAAATATATCATAATAACGTAAGAATGATAAATGATTACAGTAATATTGATAGGCAATTCAACATACGGACGTGTATTATGCAGCATATATTATTATCATAAATGTTACTTAATTACAATTTACAACCATAAACTCTGTATTAATGTAACCATATTGGTGCATAATTAATTACGAAAAACGCTACACATAAAATAAACGTGATGATAATAATAATCGATAATTTGACGCAGGTCATCAACGTATACAAACCGTCGACAATGTGTATCAAATTTTTAAACACCTGTCAACAACACATGTGTCACACGGCGTTCGGCCATCCGGACTTGCAGAACGCGCTACGCACCCGCGCTTACGACCTGGTCATCACCGAGTTGCTGGCTTCCCGGTGCGACTCGTACTTGGCCAGCCAGCTGGGCATACCGCACGTGGCCTTCGTTTCCAGTCAGATGCTGACCTGGTACCAAGACTCGTTCGACAATCCGTCCAACCCGGCGTACATTACAACGTTGAACTCGCCGTACCCGAAACCGGAAACGTTCGTGCAAAGATTCTGGAACGTCATCGACTACGTAAGAGTTTACTCGTATTTCAAATACGTGGACGTTATGGCCACGGCTATAGGTCGCCAATATTTCGGTAAAAATCAACCGGACGTCGAAACTATAATCCGCAACATCTCCGTGGTCTTCCTGAACACGCATTCCAGTTTCGATTTGCACAAACCGCTGGCGGCGAATTTCAAAGAAATTGGTGGCATACACCTGAAACCCGCCAAACCGTTACCCGCCGTAAGTACAAAATATCCAATACAATGTAAAACATTATGAATGCCGTAGATACCTATAAAAATAAATGTATAGATGAAATTAAAATTGGAACTCGAGTGAATGTCCCCCTCTGGAGATTGATTTCCGGAATAAAATTAATTTAAAATGTTGCTCGTGAAACACTCTGCCCGTTACTGAAAACGAGAAAAAGATCCGCTCATTACCTATAATTTTTGCGTGACGCACATTGGTTATAGTCTTGTTATAATATGTATAGATTACCAATTAATTTAGGATCCGTACCCGTGACATTTTCTCTAGCGCTTACCCAGTACAAAATAGCCCCGTGCTGCTGCATGTCATCTAGTGTCATACCTACCATCTGCAGACTTACGTTTATAGGTCGTGGGCATTGAGAGGATATCGGAAGACACGTAACAGAAATTTTTGACAAATATTAAATTAATTTACTAATAAGTTATAAGTATTTATTTTGTCATCAGTCTTCAAAAGTTTCGAGTGATTTTAGCCCATTTGCCCATTATACAAAATATGATCATTATATGAGTTTTCACATAACATTCAATTTACTTGAATGATTCAATAAATATTCAAGATTAAAAACTTCAATTTTTTAATTAATTATATTATATATTATGAAAATTCCTATCGGTAAAGTTGTATTCTTAAATTTTCACAATTAGCTGTGTTACGTTTACGCTAAATCGTACATACTTTGATAGGTATTAGACATTAAAGCGAGAGTTTTATGTTCAAAGGCGATCCTTTTAACATCCTGTAATATCTAATTAACATAATAGTATAAAACTAGTAGATATCACTTTTTGTAATGTAGGTGCACAAAAAATTGTGACGGTTATCGTATTTAGATAAAATGTTTTGCAACAAAACACTGTTAACTGTTTATCCACTTAGTCTCCATTGTTAATATTATTGTAAATTTGATTATGCAGGATCTACAGGAATTTATTGAAAGTGCCGAACACGGCGTTATATATTTTAATTTGGGATCCGTGGTCAGAATGGAAGATATGCCGATCGATCTACAAAACGGCATCAAGGAAGGTTTTGCAGGACTACCCCAAAAAATTTTATGGAAGTTGGAATCAAACTCGACGCTGTATAATCAACCAAAAAATGTATACACAAGAAAATGGTATCCTCAGTATGATGTTATAAGTAAGAAAAAGATAAACGTTTTTATGTAAAGTAATTTAACTTAATTCAAAATGGGTATTACGATTTATGAATAATTTGATTGGGCAAACTCTAAAGTGTGTTCTTAAACCATGTCAATAATAACTGTAAACGTGCTGAATATTTTTTGCCGAGATCCGAAACGATACACTTTATACAGGGTGATTCGTTTACCTCTAGGGCGAGAAAACCGTGCGTAACTTCTTGTGTATGCATAGTGCATACATGCATATTTGTTTTGTGCAGCCGTAAAAAAATCCGGCTAGAAAGACATTTTTTTCATGTTACGATGAAACAAAATATACACCACTAAATTTTTCAATAAATGTTTAATGGTGCGCTGGAAAAAGGCCCATAAACAAAACTATGATTGGTAATAAGCAAGATAAGAACCAGCACCCAGTGTCTCCGGCACAGTGACAATCCGTAAAAGGATAAACCGCTAACGAATCTAAACATCACCTGGTGAAAAAAAGCTGAATACTTAGAGCAGAATAATAGTTAAATTATATTTTACGTGCATAAAAAACAAATATGTACCAATAACTGTTATTATAACTATTACAATATGATTGATAATCCCGATAGGATTTCTTTTGTGTCACAAAGATAGTCATATGATACGATTACGACAATCGTAATTGTTGTAATATAAGTATACGCTAATCAATATTGCACTAAAACTAATTTTATGTTTCAGGACATCCAAACGTAAAACTTTTCATCACTCATGGTGGTAATTCTGGCGTTATCGAAGCAATAAGCGCGGGCATACCAGTATTGGGCATACCTATATTTTTCGACCAGCCGAGAAATTTGGAATTGTTTGAACACTGGGGTTCCGGCTTATGGGAGGATTACAGTAATTTCACGAAAGAAAGTTTTGTCGGCAAGATCAAAAAAATCCTAGGTGATCCACGGTAAGACGAATTATTATAAATTCTGAACATTGCGATTTTACAACGACTAAACTATTAGCTATTTATGCGAGTTTATATAAATAATCACTATGCATATATATGCTGATTGTAAATTTAAAAATCAGTTACACATTTTTGATAAAAATATTTGTTTAAATTTCTATATTTGATTACCGAAATCTAAATATAACGAGAAAAATAAGAAAGATAGAAATACTTCGCACATGAGTGGGCCAGTGTTGTTAGTAAGAAGTTAGGAAGGTAGAGCGGAAATTTAATGTATATCTGTACGCAACGATTCACTTTTACTATCGAAAAACAATTCTGAGCGGAGTTCGACTAATAGTGTTGCATTGTCAATAATATATATGTCATATTATAGTAAAATGCGTACCTATGCGTTATATATTTTCTTAAATAATGTTTTTGTAATACTGTACTAATTTTCCTATTTTTCCCCGTGTTTTTCCAATTTATTATAAAAACTCCAGGGAAAATCAAAAAATGATGTCCATAAAGTACCACCCCAGTCAGATTCTCTTTCAGTAAAAGTGCTGTCATTGTAAATTGAAGCAAAATTTCCGGTAGAAAAGTTGTCCGCAAAAATCATCATTGTAAAACCAATACATTTTTCGCGCTGCTCAGAATCTAAAATGTTTATTTGATTTTAAACTCTAAACTTAGAATCAATTTTCATGCACAATGATTTGGAAATTATTAAATTTTGGTACATCAAGAACACAATAGTATTGCGTAGTTAAATAAACATAATACGTTTTCGAATCCGTTATTACAAAAGACAGATCACTTGTGCAATCTTAGTATTTTACCAGTACATGCAGCTGCTATGGAGTGCTAGAGTTGTTTGCATGAAAATATAATATATCAGGTTCGTTAAATTACAACGCAATTGGTTTTTTTTGCATACCAAAGTACCTTCGTACATTACATAAAATAATTTAAGTTATTTAACCCTAAAACCATAATACATTTTATTACTTCATTACCAATGCTATACACTTATAATTAAAATAAATACTTTTTAGATACCTAGTTAAAAACAATGTTATAAATTATATTGTATTAGTTTTATCAACATATTCTATAGCCATAAAACGTTATATTTTAAAAGCCTAGAGTATTTTTAAAATGTAAAAAAAAGAAATAATCTCCTTTTATATTTATCTTCACATTTCCATCAATACTATAACTAATATTACTTAGCTTGTATCTGTGTACACAATTAATTGTAGATTAATCTATACTTACCTATAATTTGGTGCTTCGTTAATTTTTTTTAATAAACTCGTGTTTGATGAAAAAAAAAATGATTCTACCACAATTTTATTTTGTCATTTTTTATGTATAAAATATTTTTCGACTAGTCGGTTCATACTAGTGTTGAATTAGTATTATAAGCTATAATAGTTGATATTCAAAATCCCGGGAAATATAGAGAGGTTATTTTTTCCACGTATCGTTTTATAATTCATGATTCCAACTTTGAATCAATGAAACCATTTATAAAATTATATTAAATAATTTATAATAATAATTATAAAATTTACTTACCTAAATCTAAATTATGTTTCAAAGGTAATTATTAAAGCGTCTTTTTAAGTATCAATATAATAACAATAAAGTATTGTCTTTGAATTTTAAAATGCCTACTATAATGCCTATACATTACGCCTACAAAGTCATTCATTTCCCAGGCACTAACGAAATATAAGAAAGAAAATGTTTATTTTCTAAAATTAATAAAATACATTTTCTACCCTCAAAAAATAACTTTTAGTGTGATAAAAATTTTTAAATTCATAAAAAATAGGTAAAATAAATTGTTTTTTATAATACTGTCAAATAAATTCCCTAGATATCACGAAAGGTATAAAAAAAAAAATTCAAATAAGGAACAAACTTTTAATCTTGAGCTCTATGTCGTTTTTTGAATCTAATAATTTTTTGTTATTGAATATATCTAAACAAAATACCCCACTATATCTTCCTTTTTTAATTGCGTAAAAGCATTTTATTTATACAGGGTAATTTTTTTTTAAACATAAACCAGCAATTTCCTCCTACGATTTTAAATGAATTTAGTTCCTGTTTTTTTTTTTCAATCATTGTGGAATTGATTAAGCTTTATTTTAAAATCATTTTTAATTTTTCCCCTACTTTACATACCTTAAATAAGTATATACTTTTGGTTTTTCAAATAAGAACCCCCCTTTTTGAACGCCGATTCGAATAGAGAATATTTTTCTAGAAATTTTGATGCGCATAACACTAATATCAGATTTAACGTTTATGAGTTTGATCGTTTAAAGTTTAGACCGGAAGAGTAAGGGAGAGTTGTCAATTTATCATTTTTAAATAGATACACAATTACTATTACACATTATTACCCTTCCGTTCTATCCTACTTCTTTCCCTTCCTTGATACGATCTGAATCTAAAAAAAAAATAAACACACATCAGGCGCATCCCCTAGAGAGGGGGCAATGAGACATTCAACCCACCCCTTGCCCCCCCATAACAATTTTTAATGTATGGAAATTTTTCTCATTGTCAACAAAATAATAATGATCAAAATTTCAATTTACCGTTATCAGTAGACAAAACTAATAGCTACATAAATAACTTTATGTGTCATCCACGTCTCCAAGGCGAAAAATACGCCTATAGTAGTAATTTATTTAAAAAATAGATTCGCTCCCCTTGAAAACTGTCTAGGGACGCCCCTGACACACATCATAGTAAAAACAACAGACCCCTCGATACGCTCCGAGTTTAAAAAATAATAAAATTGTGTGGGTAAAAAGAGGTATAGCGTAAAATGTATGTAGCCCGTTTTAGTGTGATCTGGCCATGTACATTGTAAGTACACCAGAGGTGTATAAACTATAAAAAAAACATTCATCATGTCTGTCATAATATCGCAAATGCAAATAAAAAGTAATTTATTTGTACATTTCTTTTCAGGTTCAAAGAAAACGCAGTGAAACTATCGAACCGTTTTCACGATCGCCCGATCAGTCCTCAAGAGACAGTAGCTTACTGGACGGAATACGTGTTACGACACAACGGAGCACATCATCTCAAATCGCAAGCCATCAACACAAATTGGTTTGAATACTTCTCGTTGGACTTTCTTGTCCTGGTTTCCGTCCTTACAACATCTTTATTGTATTTTTTGTACAATATAATGTCCATCGTTAAATTTTGGTAATAGACAGCAAATGAAAAGACGTGGACAAATATATTGAAAACTGTCTGTGTAATATAATTATGTTTACACTGTACATTGTTACTTATCCTGCAATATAATATATTATATCGACAGAATAACTTATAACGATATTTTTATTATTAGCACTATAGGAAAAATATATTTTTTGTTAATGTATAAACGAAGTTTGAATAAACGTTTATTATGGTGTTTCACGTCCGCCCGATTGTATTGTAGATTAATTTTGGTATGAACGACAAATATCAGTAGGTAATGTTTAATTTTTTTAATTTGTGTAAATTCTCTGGCCGATTTGTATTTAATTTTATTTTTATAATCTAAGCTCATCAGGAAATGAATTGGTTTTACTATAATGTTTTAGCTGCGAACAGCTCCTCTAACAGACATTTTTCATCTTTTATAAATGTAATTTTCTATAGTTTAGAAAGTCATACTTCGATTTTCTTTAGCAATAGACAAAATTCGTGAAAATAAATGCGGGTTCTTTAAAATAGTCCTAATCGAACTTTGAAAAACATATCAATTATAATATCAGTTCTGCGCGGCAATTCTGTAGCTCGATAAGATTTGTTATCGACAACATTAAATTTGTTAGCTGATGAAATTACCACTATTGAATAACTATCTATAGTGATTCTGTAACTGATTAAGAAATAACATTATTTTATAACGTATACAAATATCCGATTCGTATTAGGTGATCAGATCATAATATTAGCATTATCAAACATTTAACTTTGTAATTTGTATTTCTTGTAGTCTAATGTAAGATATGAATTTTGGTATATTTTTTTTAATATTTTGTAGTTTATATATATATATGCATATAAGTACAGTAAAACTTCCATACAACGGTCACCGAAGGGACCGGAAATAATGACCACTATTTAAAGGTGACCGTCCTTTAGAGGTTTCCTATAGAGGCATAACACTTGACCGGAACAAAAAAAATTACCGTTGCACAGAAGTGGCCGTTAACGAAAGTTTTACTGCGTTAAGTGCCATTAAATATTTTTGAAATTTGAACATTGCTATTGCATAGAGTTTTTAAGTTTTTTGAGTGTTACACTTCAATTTTAATTGATTTAATAATATTTTACGTCCTTCTCTTTAACTCTCGAGTTAGTGAAACAACAAAATCATCCCACGACCTCTCAATGTATATCTTCTGTAGAGAGTATTAGTTTTGGATATTAAATCGTAATTATTATTGAAGAACGGATGAACAGATAAGGACAACGCAGGGGTGGATTTAGGGAATAGATTAGGAAAGGAGCTAAAAAGATATTCACTTTGGTGAAATATTAAATGGGATAACTTATTCGTTATCCAGTTACTACGTGAATCATAACTGTGTTGTAATTTACATATAGGTTTCTATAAAACAAGGTATTAGCTCAATTTATCAATTTTGTATAATACATGTTTTATTTTTGTATGGAATTAATACACTGACCGAATCAGTACTCTGGTTAAATTTTAAATCGTACAATTTCCCGGTTATTATAGATTATACTAACATCATCGTCGATCCTAATAAAATGTATTGATTTTTTTTTTTACCAATAATATTATTATTATTATTACGAAATGTAATTTATTCATTCGAGCGTGGAACTTTTATTTGTATACGAATAAACTATAAATTCGTCGTGTTATTCGAGTTTGGAATGACAATACAGCCGCTTCTCGAGTGGCCTAATACTCAAAATAAATATTGGTCTACTTGACGAGCGAATTATGCCGGGTATTTAAAATGGTTACAATGAAATAAAATATTAAACACTCCCAATAAAGGAAAAATGTACTCGACAAAAATGACGGATAACGGTCGAATAAATTAAACTTTATTAATTTGATGGATTCCCCAAGTTCGTAATGTTATTTTTATTTCTGCGGGCGTTAAATGCATATTATTTTAATTCACGAAGCTGGGTTATGCGACAACGTTTCGCTTCATTTTCCTTTTTTTTTTTCGATTCTAAGAGAATCTATATTAGTCATACAATGTATGTATTTTTCTCCCTAGGAAAACACTTTACCGGCGATTAAAAATCGTCTGATTTTTTCCACGTCACGAATGATGTTGATATTTTCAGAAATACGCCCTCTTGGTCATTGTTTTTGTTTTTTGAAATTACAAGTACCTCGTATTGATACATAACAATATTATACTGATATGCTACGATGGCTGGCATTAAAACTAAATGGCGAATAGAAATTATAATTAAATGATTATTAATAACATCAAGTCATGTAAGTGCACCAAAAGTATATTGAAAACATTTTGCACGTCTGTCGCAATGTCACAAATGTAAATAAAAAGTAATCTTTTCGTATATTTCGTTTCGGGTTCAAATAAAACGCCGTTAAATTATCGAACCTTTTTCACGATCGTCCGATCAGTGACAGCCAGTAGCCTACTGTGGTTTGTTAAACCAATAGCATCATATCTCTCCCTGAAATGTCGGTTTCTATTATTTTATAATAATTATTATTATCACTTTATTTTATTTCATGTTATCACAGGACTATTAGATAATGTTACATATTGCAACTGCAATGTAAAAATGTCAAATAGTCCCGTTACATTCTGTATATTAAAAAAATTTCCCTTCGAATCGTTTTTCGTTAGCAATAATTTATCATTGCGTACAAATCAGACGCGTTCCTGAGAGGGAGCGACGGGGGTGATCGTCCCCCCCCCCCGAGAGAAATGGACTTACATTGGTATTTAGCAATTCGGCAATGTCATTTTTCTAGAAGTAGATTTAATATTTATAATACATAAATATATTATTTCACATACATCTTTAGATTCTCAGTGTACCGAAGAATGTATAAGTTTTACAAAGATGTTTATTTTTTTATTTTTTATTCTGTGACAAAAATTTCTACCAGAAATCTTGTTTCGATATGTACGTGTGAGTCGTATGACATCATTTCTGAAAAAGAATATTGTCTAGATGCTACTTTAGGAGGTAATTTTTTGATTTTCATACTATCTAGGAAAATCTGGGAGAAACTATAAGATAAACGGAAAATTCACGAACATAATGCTTTTTATTATTTTTAACTGTGTTATTTGTTGTAATTTAGTTAAAGATTAGAGTTTAAGTTTTAAGATTTTATGATTTAAATTTAAACTTAAAATTTGGACAGAAAACTTAAATTTTTCCAGTTTTACAAGGTAAAACTGTAAACAAAATTTGAGCCATATTTAAGCTATTTATAGACCCTTTAATTTTGTGAGTAATTTTTATTTGGTAGGTATTCTGTGGATAAAATTATTAGACGAAACAGAAATGCTTGAAAATTGAACAGGAAGTTAATTATAAGTCGTACTTTGCGATTGAAATAAAATTAATTTAATTTAATGTAGTATGTTTTTTTTTTATCTAGTTATAAGAATTGTAATATCAAATTTTGACAAAATTTTTTTAGTAAAAATTATGTGAAACAAATCTATAGTTATTAGTCCGTACCAACTATTTCAATATAATATTTATTTTCTGTAGTATGACATATTGTTGGAAAGGTAATACTATCAACCGAACTCTGCTCAGAATCCTTTTTCGTTAACAATGATCAATTTTTGCTTACAGATATAAATTAAATTTTCCTCTATATCCTACCTTTTCAACTTCTCCCAAATTTTCATCTACAACAGTGGTCCACTCATCGTGCGTAGTATGTCAGTTTTTTTTTCTTATCAATAATTAATAGTAAATTTAGTTATTTTGCCCCTCTCCCCCCCCCCATAGACAAGGTCTGAGGACACGCCTGGTACAGATATAAATTAAATTATTTTCTATATCCTACCTCCCAAACTTTTCACCTACAACAATACCCATCGTGCGAAGTATATCCGTCTTTTTTAAAACGTATCTTTTAAAATGTTCTTACTAATCTTTAAATGCCTGTTTGAAGTCCTAGTTTTAGTTTCTCTCTTTCCCCATGAAAATTACCTTATGCATAAGCCCATGCCTGCTTTTCCATTTTTCCACCAACAAAACTGACACACCCATAAACAGTAACATCACTTTGATTAAACTATTCTCCAATTATACATTTATTATGCTTTATACTGGCTTGATGACGTAATTTTGTGCACGTTAGATAGTTTTTCTCCGAATTCGTTTACACAGCAACTGCAGTACAAACACCAAACGAAACAAAAAATCAATATCCTTCTTTACCGTACATTTAAAAGGCATTTAATAAATTTAGTACTCAAAAAATAATAGAAATAATTTCTCAAAAATATAAATATTATAAGTAAATGTTACTGGTTTTTATGTTGTTATTGTTTTTTTATTTTTTTTACCAGAATATCTTATTAAAGATTATTGAATCACCTCCATATATTTTCTTATACACTAGTAAAAAATTATATTTTACTTAATATTATTTCAAAACATATGGGAACGTATATACCTACATACTAACTTTTCTATCTATTTTGCTTTACGTTTAAGTTTATTTAATTTAATTGTTTTAGGCAGAATTTAAAATTGAAGAATCGAAGTACTTTTTAGTTTAATTAGGATATGTGATATCCCATCAGAAAATACATTTTAAATTTTCGGTTAGTATAATTACTCCGATTTTTATATCTTATAAAAAATACGAAATATTTACCCAGTGAAATTGTATTTTAAATAATTTTCTACATTCTCAACAGTTTTTCTAAAAAATTTAAAAATCGACAGCAAATGACAATTATTATCGATATTCAAGTAATTTTCTAGAGAAACACCAACTAATTCTATAAGCTTACCAGCTTACAGAGTTTCACTCAGAATTGTTTTTTGATTTCAATAACTTACCTTTCTTTTAATATATTTTCTAAAACCTATGTCCTACACTTTCGCTATTTCCATTCTAAAAAAGTGGCCGAAGTATGCCCAGATTTTTTGTTGTAATATTATTATTTGTGTTGGTTTAAACAAAATAACAACCATTCCTACCTATATACCGCCCGAGTAAAAATAGTTTATTATATTAATAAAACATTTTTAATTTTGAGGAATAAATTTTAATTTGTGCTCAAACTTTTCAGAAACATTACTATAAGAGATTAAGTCAAATTGTCAAGTTTCGTTAAGTAGATTATAGTCGCTTGTTAAAGGACATCCGGTAAATTGATTATAGTGTTTATAAAGATTCTTCTTCTAATTTGTTTATACAATCTCAA